CATGTCCATATCAGAGAAATTCAGGAATGAAAATGACGTTACATACGAGGTTGATGCATTTGTGCATGTCGTACTAAGCAAGGTATAAAAACAGTTGCTTTATGAGGAATTAGTTCGTACAATTGAATATTTGACGCAATAGAAAAGGTGTTGCAGAAACCGATGTTGCTATAACCAAGTTTTACTGTATATCCAATTATATCACTGATGCCACATATCTGAAATTTGTCGTCATAACTCAACAGACAATGAAATGATGAAAGTGACTAGTGCTGGCCGAGTTGGCATATGGCACAAAACTACCAACACGTGTGGTAGTGAATCAAAATAACTGCGTCTAAACTGCGGCTGCCTATGGGGCAACTAATCATATATCTAACTAAGGGACAGATGACTAAATGAACGGATAGGGGGTCCAATTACAAGCTGTCTGGAACAGGTGATCAAGGATACTGTTGGGAAACATGGAATACTTATGTTGGATGCATCTATAGGTCCTTTAACACTGGATGACAGAGCTATGATTTTTGAAATGAACAAGTTTTTAATGGCCATGCAAAACAATTGTACTCCAGCTGGCTCCTGGCACAGGACCACACTCTGTCACCACTGGAACAATAAAGAAGCCCAGTGCAGAACTGGTGTGCCAGTGGATCAAGACCATGGTAATTGATCTCTGCAGAAGTGATGGTCAAGGATTTAAAATGTGCTGCATATCTGATGAAATGAATGGGAAGATATGGAAAAGGAAATGCTGGCAGTGAACATGAGTGTATGTGAGAAGTGTATATGAGACAAGATTGGAAATGTGAAGACAAAGAAGATGGGACAGCCAATAAAAATGGTGAAGCAAGACTAATGAAGCTGAATAAAGGCTATTACTTCAAGAATGAAACTAAATCAATAAATTTAATATATAGAATGTTCTCTAATATGTATTTTCTTAGTAAGATTATGAAATTAATTCATAAAATTACTTTTTCTGAGCAGACATGTTTTCTAGTGCTAGGTCACACAGCATTCAGAATCAACTTAGATTCAGATACAACAGATATCCACCAGAAAAAGAAACACTGGCCCAGAGCTCCTTTACTCAATACTTTCAGATGAATTATTGTAGGTTACGTTTGTTGTTTGTTTTGAATGACAAGACAGCACTGAAACATCCTGAGAGCCACCATTCCTCTTCAACAAGCATTCGACTTACACGGCAACTACAGTAATACTAACTTACCATTGGGTAAGGTGAGCTTAGTGGGCTCATTTCCTGTGAGAAGTGGAGCACGATCAGAAGATGTGTCTGAAGCCGACCTTCCCAGTGCAAGATGTTCAGAATCATCCTGTGGCTTGTACGGTGTCACAACTTGGCGAGGCAGGTGATGATACTGTTAGAATTCAAACAATTAACTTGGCTAAATGTAAGTAAACTAAGCATAACCAAAGCTACATTGTTAGATTCTGTTTAATTACAAAATCCCATTTCTGTTCTTAAGGAATAATCTTTATTTCAGAATCAGACTTCTTAATGTACATACAGAAAAAGCAGGGTAGTAAGAAAGACATGTTCTTAGGATTGCTGAATTTATATTCTATTGCATATACTTGTTTCTCTATTCATTCTTTCAACAAAATGCATAAAAGAGTCATATAATGGGGAAGTTCTGATCATCAGCCTGTTTCAACTCTGAAACTATCAGTGGACTTAGATTAATATTGATACAGAAGGTATGCTCTACAAATTGTTATTTAAATTTAATTTTGGTGTATACATATCAATTAACACATTTATGTGCATACTTTATGCATCCCCCAATTTTTAGACTAGATATCTAGCAACAAAAACCAGAACTTATTCCAGTTCTATACAAAAACTGTTTATACTGACATACAGACTCAAGGACACTATGGCATGTCAGTTTTGCAATACTGAGTTTGTATCAGTAATAAATGAACTTCAAAATTACAGCTGTGTAATACAGACAAGAATATATATGATATGTGTACTCCATTCAAATACATTTTCCTTTTGTCTTAAGTGAATAAGAAGCGACAAGAACTAAATCATTGCTTAGTATAACGGAGTGCTTCTAACAATCATACCTTGCCTCCAAGAAAAGAAATATCCCCAAAGTAAGCACCATCTAACCCAACATGGCTTGTGTGTTTGAAATCTCCCTGAGGGGATGAAATCATGTCAGGACGCAAACGACGACGAGATGAATATGGATTTTTTCCATCTGCAAACCAACATCCAACTTTGTCTTAAAGTTAATTTCCTTAAACATTTTAATATCAGGATCAAATAAAAATACTCAACCATGCAGCAGACCTCTGAAATCACCATCACTAACTGATTAAGAGATCAGATGTAAATGTTTATAAAACAAAAAGAGGACAATTTGGAGCAACTACTGGACTAGAGACTGAGGATACTGGATTTACCTTGCATACAATTCTCTTGTTGCTTTAGTTTTCTTCCTCTCTGGTCTAATTAATAGGTGACAATATGCAGTTTCATTATCATGAATAATCAACCACTGTTTGACTGGGTGTTAATCATTAATGCATGAAGCAACCACTATGCAATCCCCATGGCAGAGAATAATAGAAAAGATGTGAAATGTCACATTCTTTCACCTTATAAGGTACTTCTGTTTTTGGTCAAAGGGAATATACATGAATTAGACTGTAATGAAGAATCAGAGTTTATTTTAAGAAAAACTCAAATGAAGGACATGTTCATTCACCATTCATGTATGAGAGACCAGTAGTGTCTATCATAGAAGATAAAGGGAATAAAAGAGAATGTACTGGATTTATTCACTCTCTTCTAAAGCACTATGGCAAGGGAAAAGAGATTTAAATTACTTACATCACTTTCTTATACAAGTGGATTCCTGGATTTGAAATGCTGTGTCAAATTATGATAATGTATATCATGTATATCTATATGAATTCTATGACATCTATTTATACCTACCACCTCTGATGAACTCAGTCTTGTTTGATGGTAAATTGGAACCCAAGTATGCAACTGTGAAGGCAGGATTAAACAGCCCAGTCTTCCCATTGTTCAGAACGCCTTTCCAGAAGTTACTCACATTTGGGAATGGCCTGCCAGACAGTAAAGATAGAACATAACATAACATTGCATTGCATTCCATGGATCCAAAGTTAGTCAAAATGACTGTAGGATGTGGAATATGTCATGTAAATACAAAACATATGTACAGTCCCAATGGAGTTCTCACACAAGAGAAACCAAGAATACACAGTGACTACACACAAGGCTATTTAAAGAAACAAACACTTAATCAACAAACAAGACTTTAAGTTTTGGAAACAAAGGGAAGATCTAGGTAGAACTAATTATGCATTTCTTACAACACATAACTATTATCTACTTCTACAATGATATATATAGGATGGAGCAGAGGAAACACATGTTTTTCACATCAGAATACTTTGTTGATTTTCAAGATAAAACCTTTTTAATTACACAAGAATGAAGGTATTTTAATGCATTTTTAACTTACATTACGTATGGAAAATAATGTCAGACAGAAGACAGCCCTTCTCGCTGGACATACATTTGGAGCCTCTCCTCAAAATTGTGCATCACATTCTCCAACATGTCTTCTGGCAGAGCTGCGATTTCTTGACAAATAGAAAGTTTTGGCTCTTGGTTTGTTTGTGTACACTCTTGCCCTGAGGTATTCCCACAAAAAAGTCACAAATTGATAGATCAGTGGAGGGTGGGGGCCAAGAGACTGCAGTTACAGTGATTTCAGCACGCCACGTTGACATGTTAAACAACTTCCTGCATCCAGAACTCCTAAGGAGTCGGGTAAACATGAGACAAATGTGGTTCCAACAGGATGGTGCCACAGCTCACACAGTGAGAGCATCGATGGAAGTTGCTCGATGCATGTTCCCCCAACATATGATCTCCTGTTTCGGTGGTCTTTCTTGACCCCCGCGCTCCCCTGATCCATTGGTCTGTGACATCTTTTTGTGGGATACCTGAAGGCAAGAGTGTACACGAACAGACCATGAATGACCCAAGAGCTGAAACTTTCCATTCGTCAAGAAATCACAGCTGTGCCAGAAGACATGTTGGAGAATGCGATGCAGAATTTTGAGGAGAGGCTCCAAATGGGTGTCCAGCAAGAAGGATGTCATCTGACTGACATTTTTTCCATACGTAGTGTAAGTTAAATGCATTATAATACCTTCTTTTTGTGTAATTAAAAAGGTTTTATCTTGAAAATCAACGAAGTTATGCTTATGTGAAAAACACGCATTTCCTCTGCTCAATCCTTTATATATCCATACAAACAATCTCACATTCAATATTTTCTAGTGATCATATCAAAGAAGAAAAGAAGGTGCAGGCAAGTAACACATATGAAGAAGAGAAATGTGCACCGAATTTTAGCCAGAATACCTGAATGGATGAGACAGGAAAGCTAGGAATATATGGAAAGATACTAATACTGCTTTTACTTCCAGTAATCTGCTGCTGGCTAACCAACCAGCCCAGCCATTTCTTTGCAGTCCACTGTGGTCTGCTGCTCAAGGCACTTTCTGAATGAGAAATACTATCTCTTCTCTGGCATGGTTACTATTTGACCTTGATTGGATATGGAAGTCTGAACAAAGCACAAATAAACAACATATCTCAGACATGGGAGCAAAAGTGTGAACATGGATCTTAAAGAAGCAGGGTATGAGAGAGTAAGTTTCTTAGGATATGGTCCAGTAGCAGGCCCTCATGAACATGGTAATGAACCTTCTTCACATTCCATACAAGATGAATTTCATGATCATCTGAGAAACTATCAGCTTTTCAAGGACCCTCATCCACAGAGGTAGTAAGTTCAAAGTCTGCACTACTATGTAGAACTCCTGAATAAACAATCATACAACTTTTTGTAGAAATCTATAAACATGTTTAAGATGAAATATATTTTCCTTTTAAAATTATGAACTACTGAGGTAGAAAATTTGTCCTGTTTGTGTGTACTGAGTACTAGCAATATTCTGGAAATAACAAATAAGTATAATTGTCTTTTCGTGAAATAACTGAACCATAAATATAAAACATTTGGGTAAATATTGTTTTTCATCATTTGGATAACTTACAAAATAAACGCTCTTTTGAAAAACTTTGCTTATATATTTCAGACTCTTGCATTGTCATGACCACTTGTGTAACAACTATGAATTATAATGAAAATTGAGAAAGAAGGGTTTTTGGTCTTTTTTGTGTTATTGTATATAATAATGAAAAGTTTAGAGTCTTATCAACCCTTATCAGTCAGATTGACTCATTAGGAAGTGTGTAAAATATGAGCATAAACTGACTCACCCTCCATATTTTCCTTGCTTCTACCGCTACATCAGTGGATGACATTTAGTGTACTACAGTAAAATTTTGGTTAGCTGTTATTCAGGAATCCAGAATTCCTATCCAAGCAACAATAATTCCAAAGAAAGTTTACCGTTTTCATGAAGGCATTCAGAAGTAAACCATATTCTATGATACCAAATGTTACATGGCCAGGCAGGAAATTATAAGCTTCAGACATAACTAATGTTTCTGTGTTGATATTGTGGCATGCCGCCTAAGAGCCGGAATATCTGAGTCAGAGCGGGTGTCCATTGCTAAACAGCCAGGTAAATGTTTATTCTCACAGCAATGGAAGTGATGTTTTCATGACAATGGAGGAATTAACTTTTCAATTCAGCGTTCCCTAGTCAGTAAGCCATGCACTTATGAAGGTCAGAACTGCACACAGAAGAGAGACAAAGGACAGAAGTGAAGTATGAGAGAACATGGAGAGTGTGTGACTTCTTATAGTTGAACGTGTGAACTGTTATAATTGAGTGCAAATGTGTAGTAACATCCAATAAACCCAATGACCAAAACTAACAAACCACAATTATTTGTCAAGGAACCATGGACATGTGACAATATTTTCATGTGTTAGTAACCAGACACAGGTTTTGTATTGACAGTTGGATTTATTGGACACTCACAACTCCTAATTACAGGTGGGTTTAAAGTGTCACAGATCTACAGGTATACATGCTATATGGCACAGTATTTCAGGACAAATAAAGTCTTCTATGTCTTCACTAGGCATTCCTATATAACAGTTTCCAAAAAAAAAAGGAGATTCCTCAGCTTCTGTACTCATGTCTTTACCAGCTAGTGACTGTCTTGACACTCTTCATGGTCACAACTAACTCATGATGGCAACTGTCCAAGTTGCAGCTCAAGTGTTCTCTATACAGGGTGATTCACGAAGTTTTACCCCGGCTTATGGTACATATTCCTGGGGTTATTTCCTGCAAAATTTCCTTATAAACTTTTGGTTGATTTTCAATAGTTACAGAGTAACAATAGATTTTCGAAACGCATCAATGTGAATGCAGCGCTATGCTTCAGCGTGGGCGACCATACGTTCCAGTCAGCTATGTCAGCAGATAAGGTAGACTGGTTTGAATGTTGCACGTTGGTAGATAGGCAGAGCGGTTCATACGTGTGCAATGCACTGTGTTGACGTGCAGGGAGACAATTTTGAAAATCTTATGTAAATCCAGTCGTCTTCTAAAGCACTACAATTTAAAGGAAACAGATTGATAGAAGGGTGTGATATGCAACCATTGGTATGTTTACAGAATGGGATGCTGAAAATAATGTAATTTTGTAACACAAAATTGATGAAAAATGTTGCACAATGCAAAATTAAGAAATTGAAAAGAAAAATTTGGTTTTAGAATGCTTCTTTCCTAAAACATTAACGATTTAAAAAGTGTTTGTATTGTATTTCTAATTTGTTTTGACTGAAATTCGAAGAAAAAAAGATTTTTTGCCAGTTTTCAAATTACTGTATCTCTTTAATTATGAGTTGGATACCATTAGTATATTTACATTTTTTGTTCCAAATTACCTCAGGAATGCTCTCCCTAAGTGGGGCTAAAACTTCGTGAATCACCTTGTATAACTTCAGTATGAACCAAATAGAAAACACTGTTTCCAGTAATTCTTACATTATCATGTTACATATTCACTGGCATGGAAACTTGTTTACTAAGCCATTGCCTAGCAATGGTTGCCCCTTGTGGCTCCACTATTACTGCCTTCAACCATTATGTCATAGTATTCACATACGAGGGGGGACCCAAAAATAACCGGAAACGACCTGTTGCGCGCGCATGCTTTGTAGTTACGAGTTGTGCTGCTAGGTGGTGTTAGCTGGGGGTCTCCTGCGACTGTTAGTGAGCTGGTGTCAGTCTGAGTTAAGTGGTTTGTCTGTGGTGCTCTGTTGTGTGCGTTCCTGTTTCAACCCTTTGGCGATTAGTGAGATGGCTGACCAGAAGGAACAAAGAGTGTGCGTGAAATTTTGCTTTCTGTTAGGGAAAACTGCAGCCGAGACTGTTGGGATGCTTCGGCAAGCCTTTAATGATGATGCTTTGGGGAAATCACAGGTCTACGAGTGGTTTTCCCGTTTCAAATCTGGCAANGTGGAGCAGAGGAAACACATGTTTTTCACATCAGAATACTTCGTTGATTTTAAACCTTTTTAATTACACAAGAATGAAGGTATTTTAATGCATTTTTAACTTACATTACGTATGGAAAATAATGTCCCTAACAGACAGCAAAATTTCATGCACACTCTTTGTTCCTTCTGGTCGGCCATCTCACTAATCGCCAAAGGGTTCAAACAGGAACACACACAACAGAGCACCACAGACAAACCACTTCACTCAGACTGACGCCAGCTCACTAACAGTCGTGGGAGACCCCCAGCTAACACCACCTAGCAGCACAACTCGTAACTACAAAGCATGCGCGCGCAACAGGTCGTTTCTGGTTATTTTTGGGTCCCCCTTCGTATCAGGTTACTGAATCTAATTGGTACTGTAACAAGTTAATTACAATGGGCTCTGATGATAGTATATACCAGTAACACTTGAGATTACTGAGTTTTTTGACTATATCCATCACTTGCTATTCTCAAGAGCTTGTTTCAGAAACAGGATTTGTCTTGTCCTCAGGTCAAAGAGATGGCAGCACTTATCCTGCTGGGTTCATTAGAAAGAGCTAACCCCTTCACTGGACTGGACTAATAATGTAATAAAAGGTAAAGTCATCTGTGCTTAATTAGTTAAGTACTATGCCATGAAGTCATATGGGGGAATAGAGGTATAGCTCCACCATTTTTGACCTCAACACTAGATGGAGATGAGAAGTTTCATGCCTTGGCTGCTTTACCCCTGGGGAAAGCGTTCCAAATATCCATTGAATAGGAGGCCGAGTGGGTTCCACAGCCACTTTGGACACTATGGAGAAGATAAAAATCTTGCCCCTACCAGGAATCAACTCCCAGCTATTCAGCCTGCAGCCTGTCACTACATTGACTGAGCCATCTCAGTTCCTAGTAATGTAATCCTTATTGTTAACAATGATTGATCCTTGGGTTAATTTATGAGAATGTTTTATCTGCAGAGGTCATGGCATCAAATGTGGCAGGAAAATGATCATGAACAAACAGAAAGTACATAAGATTTGGAACGAGGTGATTACAGCCTACTCAAAGGCCTTACCCATGAATTCACCTGGAGAGCTAAGGAAAACAATAAAAACATTAGTCAGGATAGACATCCAAAGTCCAGCTGAGAAAGAAACTCATTCTAGACTTACAGATCAAACTGGTTAGTAACAATCCTTATCAAGTGAATGCTTACCCAAAGTCCAGCTGAGAATGAAACTCGTTCTAGACTTACAGACCAAACTGGTTAGTAACAATCTTTATCAAGTGAATGCTTACCCAAGCTCAGCTAAGATGAAACTCATTCTAGACTTAGAGACCAAACTGGTTAGCAACAATCCTTATCAAGTGATTGCTTACCCTTTGTCAAGCACAGTGATCACATCTCCAACTCTGTACATCAGCAGTTCGCGTTGCTTGACTTTCACTAGGTCATCTCCATATTCCTGCACTGCTTGTACTTGCTCTGGTTTGCACTACAGAGAGGATTTATCACTATGTCTTAACATAAATTGTAAGCAAACAAAAGATAAACATATACATACATACAATCCATATGGAGTAATAAGGATGCTAGTAGTCTGGCAACAGATGTGATGAATGGGGGATGGGAAGCGGGAGTAAAACAAGTAGAGTTTCTTAACAAACATAAACCTTTAAGACATCAAAATCAACACATATTTGGACATGATTAGTAAGGGAATTTTCATTTTGTTTTGTGTCATGAATTAGATGCCAACAAAATGTACCATTACATAGTGCCAGATAAAAGTAGCTCTAAGGAACTGCATCACTTTGTCATTGTTAAATAATAAATTTGTTCCTTGTGTGGGGAGTACTAATCTTTCTTAGGTATTATGTTCAAATGTGTTCCTTGATTTCAGACAAAAGCTTAAGAGGAAACACCACATCAAAATAGCAGAATAGCAATATGAAGCCTCAAAATGAATACCAGATATTTTAGTCTCTCTGAGTACCATGGATGTCACAAGAGAGCTGAAGGTGGTAGGAGAGAACACTAGACTTGGAGATCTGAACACTTGCAAACTAATTCAATTTGAATCAAAATAATTTTGCACAAGGCTTTCGAACCTTCATCGCATTTCTTGGTCGACAAATATGCCATTTAATTTGTGCTGAGTTAACTGTCACACAAATAAGTTTCAAAACTGTAAATGTTGAGCACATTTACAAAATGCAACCATATTTCCAAATGCCTATGCAAGAGAGTTATGACTTTAAATCCACTTCTAAAATATCCGAGATCACAAGGACAAGATTGTTTCTTCTGACATATTTCAGTTAAAAAGTGTTGGCCTAGGGACAAAGAAACAAACATTTATTTCAAAATCATAAAGAATATGTGAACTCACTATAAATTACTCATTACTTTTCTAAATTCCTCCTGGAATTGAATCCTACATACGCTACTCTGTCCACAGATATTAACCCTTAACCTAAAATAAAATTATTACTGTCTTCCACCACAGCTCTATCCTCTGGAAAAAAAAAAAAAGTGGATAATATACAGGGGATGGACAAAAATATTGAAATTTGTTAATACCCGTTACTTAATTATAAACCCTACAAAATGGAGAAACAAGATATGCAGCAAATAATCGACATGCCGACCGATTGCAGATGCAAGACAGAAACAAGAACTATGAAAAGTGATGTGAAGAGCGAGCGTTGCAGAAATGTGTGATAATGTGGGATGTTCACACACCCAACAAAAAACACATTACTGTGACTACTATGGTGCAGGACAACCTCTGTATTGCAGAACTGCTTGCAGTCTCCTTGGAATGGATAAATAGAGGTCCTGTGTGATTTGCAAGGGAATCTTGTACCATTCTTCCTGCAAAACATTGGCAAGTTCTGTTAACGATGATGGAGCTGGATAGCAAGCACACAGAATGCTCTCCAAAACAGACCACAGAGGCTCAATAATACTGATATCTGGTGATTGTGGGGGCCATGGCAGACGTGGCACTTCATCTTTGTGTTCAAAAAACCAGTCCTGGCTGATGTGAGCTGTGTGAACACAGGCACTGTCGTCTTGGTAAATGTCATTACCAATAGGGAACAAAGTTTGCACCATGGGATGGACTTGGTCGCCCAAAATGGTCACACAGTCATTGGCAGTGACGTGACCTTGCAGGGTAATGATGGGTCCAACAGAATACCATGATATGGCTGCCCATACCAGGTTTCACTCTTGGCAGCAAACAATCTGGATCGTAAGCTTGGGATGGCATTCTCCAGACGTAAACTAGGCCAGAAGTCGGAAACAGTGTGAAGGTGGACTCTCTGACCAAATGACCATCTTCCATTGCTCCATAGTCCACTATGGCACTACACTCTCCTCTTAGTGGCATTTTGATCACTGATGAGTGGCACTGCAGCTCATCCAGAAATTCCCTACTTGTGGAGTTCCCTTTGTACTGTTTTGGTGCTGATAGGGTTTGTGAATGTGACATTCGGTTCAGCAGTCACTTTTGCAGCTGTAGTCTTATTTTTTGTCACAATCCTACGCAATGTTCATCTGTCTCGATTACTCTACACACATTTCCATCTATGCTGGTGTTTATCGGATGCAGTTTTTCCAGTCCTCCTGTATGCGGTCATAATCTTGGATACTGTGCCTCACAAAACACCAAAAAACTTGGCTACCTTGGTTATGCAAGCACCCACCATATGGGCCCCAACAATTTGCCCACGTTCAAATTCTGTTAGCTCTGACATGATGCACTAAAAACTGCATACAACACTGTCTCGACAACAAATGAAGCTTGCAACATATTGCGGAGGTTGTACAGGTAGTGGTATGGGGCAGATATTACAGCGTCACCTACAAACGTCACTAAAATAAACACTTAAATTCAGGCATGCATTTCATGAGGTGTTTCCATATTTTTGTCCATTCCCTGTTCCTTCATTCATGACAACATTCATCATATTATAGCATCAATATGCAATTCAGTATACTATCAACAGGTAACAGGGACAGCTTCTATGGTGCAGAATGTATATCTGTGACTTTCTACACACAATATTAGAGGAGAGAAAAGTTGATAAAGTCATTGATAAACAACATAAGAATGAAATTCATAATATCAGGTCTCCATGACAGTGGAGGAGGGATAAGAATTATTCCACTCTGTAAAACTGAAATCAGATAATCAGATTACCTCAGGTAGTATGTTGATGAGATCCGCAAATCTTGGCCGCTTGTTAGGATCATGCTGCCAACATTTCAGCATGATGCTAAAATATTCTTTGGGACAGCATTCTGGTTGTTCTAACCTCTGAAATGTACAATGGACAATAGAAGCTAATAGAGCAAGATACTTTGTTTACTGACTATATATGTAACTGTATAAATTTGGGCTATCACAGCTGTTCAGAATTTTACAGAAATCTGTTGTTCACTGAGTACATGGTAAATGGACTACAAGTTGCATTGTTGCACTGTATCAGCTATGAGAAAATAAATGTGAATATAACAGTACGGTTTTATTTGCAACAATAAATATATTAAACAAGTAATACTGTCCTTATTTTAATGTTTATTTATAATTGAAACATACATTAAAAATATTTTTCTGGGACTTGTGAATGAGTGCAACTTTTACATGTAAAATAATGAGAATATAATTTTCAATTTACAGATTTTCACCTTACCAACAGTTTTCATAAACTAATTACCATTGTAAATACGGATACATCTGTGTCTGTGAACCCACCATATTACTGAATCAGGTGGGTCAGTGAAGTGACTGGTGATGGGGCTGCACGATTAGTGGAGGTCTCTCCCCTTCACCATCATGTCCAGACAGGTTTTGAGCCCATCTAGCATACTATCCAATGCACACCGAGAGCTGGTACATGAAGCTGACCATAGTTAAGAATGTGTGATCTTCAGTCTACTACCCTGTATATTTTCATGGCAGAGTGCATCAGCACTGTTTTTATAGAACCTGAAGGTTCAATGCCTTCTTCAGAAATGCCCACCAATGGCTATTTCCCTGAGCCAATTTAATCACGTTCACAACTTCATTCCCTGTTCATCTAAGATCCAGTTTAATATTACCCTCATATATGCTTATATCTCCCATAGAAAGTATTGCCTAGAAAATTTTTAATGCGCTTCTCACTTTACCCACTCAGATCAGTGTAACATTTCCTAAGAAAATGACTTTTATAACTAAACGTTGGTGGTAATCAAAGTAACATATCACTGCCATCTCAAGAATTGTCTTATGTTTTATGATTACCAACAAAACAAATGGGAGTGCAGAGAAGAAGAAATTAAGAAGTTAATGTGGTTTCTATTTACTCATTTTGAGTTTCACACTATTGTACTGCAACAAACTTTGCAAAATCTGAGATTTTAAATAGAGTAAAGAGCATAATCGTTTTGAAATTACCTGGAAATTAGGTTCATCAATAGCTTCTAAAATCTGATGTCCTGTGAGGGCAGCCCATGGTTGGAATCCATAACTAAACATTTCCCAAAGTGTCACCCCAAATGCCCAGACATCTGACGCTGATGTAAAGCGTAGATAACTTATACTCTCTGGTGCACACCTGTATGTATGTCAATTCACAAAGACAGTGATGAAAAATGACAATGAAAGTAATAACAATTCTCCTTCATGGATTAAGACATACATGAAATTTTTTACTTCATAACATTGTGATAGTTCAGTGTATAAATTAGCTACTCACCAAGCTATAGGAAGCTTCAAATTAACATTGAAATTAGTCTGATAATAATCCTTTCCTACACCAAGGGCACGTGACAGTCCAAAGTCAGAAATCTTAACTTTGTTCTTTGAAAACACAAGGATATTTCTTGCAGCCAGATCCCTGTTGAAGGAAAATTAATGTAAACGTAACAGTATAACAAAACACAGATTAATGATAAAAATGAGTCTCACACTTATTTTAGTACATCACTGAACTGATGTTTTCCATGTCTACAACTACCCCATCATACATGAAAACAGCAGGCTGAAGAATCCTGAACAAGGAAACATGAATGAACTTTTCTGTCAGCTGTTAACCCATCACCTACCATGCAATTGTACTGTGTGATCTTACTCTCTCAGGTGAAGCAGTTGAAGTAATATTAACAACATGCTCAGTTTGTATCTCAGGTTGATTACTGGCCATGTTGGACGGTTTTCTTTCTCTTTTGGTGGTTCTCCTGGGTCTCTCTCAGTAAATGCCAAGAAACAACTTTCAAATGGCCATGACCATCTCCTTCCAAATCTGTACCTGCTTACCAATTTAAATCTGTCCCTTCATCTCTCCAGACAAGTGCTATAAATGGCCGTGACCATCAAAACTTGTTTCCACCACCACTTATCAGTATCCTCCCCACTAATTTAACGTCATGTAATCCGTGCAGTCCACATGGCACCATTAAATCACCTGAGGCTGGATTCAGTCTAGGCCTCAAAGCATGAATGGGCTTAACAGGCATGAACTCCATGCCAAGCTTTGGGGAGTCACACACAACAGATCACCAGTTCCACATCATTTTCACAGATAATCTATTAGATGTGAAACACTCATTGCCAAGGACTGTGGAGTTACAGCTTAGGTGCAATCCCACTGTAAATTCCTATATATATATGTGCATCAGTAGCAGAATCTATAGCAACAGGAATAAAATATGGTATTCTTGGAAGAGTATCAAATAAGCTTGCAAAAATATTGCTAACTGACCAACTCTACAGACCTGAGCCCTTCTCGAGAAGTCATCAGGTGCTCAGTCGCTCAAAAATTTTCAAATATTTTATGGAACCCGAATGTTCATTACAGTGTTCACAAGAGCCTTCCACCAGTCTCTATCCTGAGCCAATCCAGCTGGTACCACCCCATCCTATCTCTCTCAGATCATTTTAATATTATCCTCCCACTTATGTGTATGTCTTTATAGTGGTCTCTATCCTTCTGGCTTTCCCACCAAAATCCTATATGCATTCCTCTTCTACCTCATGCACATTACATGCCCTGCCCATCCCATCCTCCTTGACTTCATCATTCTAATTAGACTTGGCAAAGGGTACGAGTTATGAAGCTCCTCATTATTCAGTTTCCTGCAAGCTCCTGTTACTTCATTCTCATCCCTCTTTGGTTCAAGTAATCTCCTCAGCACCCTTTTCTCAAACACCTTCAGCCTATGTTCCTCCCAAAATCCAGAGACCAGTTTTGCACCCTACAAAACCACAGGCAAAATTATAGTTTTCTATATTCAAATTTTTATGTTATAAGCAGGGCTTGGATTTTGATGACATGTCATCCTTGTATCCTATGCGATGCTCTTAAATATATAAATCTCGGATATGAGCTGCTGATTACAGAAATGTAAATTTTATAGGTAATTTTTGTCATTTTTTGACATTTTTACGTTTAAGGTCATTTTTTCAATTTTGGGGTAATTTTTTGGACATTTAAGGGTATTTCTTGTCATTTTTGGCCATTTTAGGGAATATTTCTTTATATGTTTTCTGAAATGTGAATAACATGGAAGCAAAGTGTTCTTTCTTTTCTCCTTTAGGTCATTTTTTTAATATTTTCAGGTCATCAAAATCCGGGCCCTGCATATACATTTCTGGGTCATATTTTAGGTCATTTTTCTGGATTTTTTCAGCCATTTTATAAATCAGGTCATAATAATCTGGGCCCTGGTTATAAGACAGCAGATGAGAAGACAAAAGGCTCTGGACTGAATGGCAGCAAGTATTATGTAAATTCACTCTCCTCTTCATTTCCTCCTGAATCAAATTTTGATTTCATATCATCACCCAAATATCTGAAATGTGACACTGCCATATGAATTAAGTTGTCAAGAATTTTTATTGTGTCTGCAGACAACTTTCAGAGTTGTATTCTAAGTTGAAAGAGGCCAGAAGGAAGACCATAGATACTTTCAACCTACTTGAGGCAAATCAAAATGAATAAATTATGGTCTCTCCAACGCTGAAGTAATTTGATTTTATTGCACACAGTGTGAAAATGAATACAGAATGCGAACTACCCAGAAAATAACACAGATTTCAATGTGAAGTCTACTAACTGTGCATCAATTGGAAGCACTGTATACAAACCTGTGAATCAGCCTTTTCATCTCTAAATACTGCATACCATCACATATCTGGATTGCAAAATCACAAAGTGAGAGAATGGGAAAGCTGGCTCGAAGGGATGGCTCCTTCAGACACTCCAAAAGTGATCGCAGTGGGGCCAATTCAGTCACCTGAAAACAGATATTACTTGGGCACCGAATAACATACAAAATGAACAAATCCCATCATAATCTATAACCAACCCAGGCCAGTGAAAGACTGTATGAATAAAACGAAATTTTTAACTTTAAATTTTCAACCATAAAAATGTTTACAACTGTTGAAATGAACTTAAACAATTACAATTAATAGGCATAGGTATAATGAAATCTCACTAAAAAAATTTCCGTTCATATTACATTTTCAAATTCCACAGTACACAAACCATGTGAGAAGGTAAAATGTCTTTATGCCTAAACATGACACTAGATATAGGAGATCTGAGGGCTCTCTGGGTCATACAGTATACAGTAAACCCTCCCACAGCTATCCCTACCCCTGAACTCTGGCTCTCACCACCATCCATCCATCCAAAAAGCAAGCCACACTTTCCATTCTGCTGGGCAGGCCAGAGCTCTGCATGACCAGGACAGCCTACAGGATGAACAGGACTGACTGACTGACTGACTGACTGACTGACTGACTGAGCACTATAGTGATCAGTAGAATTTCTCAGGCTTGCAACCTTCCTGATAAACAGTTGTTCTGCCTAGAGAGGATTGTGACTTAGTTGCCTTTCTGCCCTGTGTTGGGTTCACCTTTAATTGCATGAATTGGAAGCTTTCCACACAAAAAATCAAGTCAGTTGGTATCCTGCTATGAAAATTTTCAGATTTCCTTCAGCCAGTCAAGAATGACCTTCATTTGGAGACAATGGAAGTATACAATATCAAATGAGAGTGTCATCAGGTCTATATGGACAGCCAAGCCATTCATTCAATTCACTCCATGGCCAAAAAACGCCTCCAGCATATCTGTTTTGGTCATCAGGACAAGTCAGCCAACTCAGAGCACAGCAATAACCTGGGGCACCACACCCAGCTCCAAAACACCAGCATTTCCTCTGTAAAATCCAGATACATAAACTGAACCTTCACAGAGGCAGCATTACAGCTCCAATCAAACAACATGAACAGGAAAGATTTCTGCCCTAAGCAACACATGAAAACTGCTCATCTAAACTCTGAAATGTATTTATTTACATTTATACATTCCGTTGATCCTTATGGTACAGCTGACCAGGGGATATGGATTTTGTCCCAAGCTAATAGATTAAAATATGCAAATACAAAAACTACATACATACTTTTGTCATTAAGACAGTTAAAAGATTTATATTAATGTACAATGCATAAAATGATCAAAATTATAAAACAATAATTGATACAAAATACTTAGGTAATGATATAAAATTATAACATATCAGGGGTACAATTACCAATTTTAATTACATACATGGTTAAAGTATTCCTCTAAGGAATAAAAAGAATTTGAAAGAAAAAATCTTTTTAGCCTCAGTTTAAATAGTTTCACATCATTACTCATACTCTTGATTCTGGATGGCAGGTGGTTATAAGCCTTAATACCAAAATAATATGGTCCTTTCTGAAAGATTGTTAGGCGTGATGTGGGAAGGTGCAAATTTGTGGTATGTCTAGTATTAAGATTGTGGGTCTCATAGTTTGAACTCTATAGGTCTCTATTATTTACAACAAACAGAATTATAGAGTATATATACTGTGAGTACATTGGTAATATTTTTAGGTTTTTGAATAGTTCCCTACATGAGTCTCTAGTTCTTACATTCATAATAGTTCTAATGATCCGCTTTTGCATTCTGAAAACATTTATATATGTATGAAAGAATGTAAGAAACCTCCTTAGGGTTTCTTGTGAGGTGGTTCTCCAAGCAGCCCATCAGCCCTGAATACACAGCTTTTTTTTTTTTTTCATAAAACAGATGCTGCCCTTTTCAGGGAAAAATCTGCCCTCTTCTGGTCACCATCTGCCCACCACAGCCTCCAACCTCTTCCACTTTTTCTAACCCCCTTCCATTCCCTGCCTTCAGCCCTAATTAGAATCTTATTTGCCCTTCCACCTACAACACTGTCCTCCTCCTTGTTCACATAAATTGAACAGCGCAGAGAAAGAAGAGATTACAAGGTCTGAGAAAAGCAGGTAAGTCTACTACTGAAGTGATAATTCTGATTAGCCAGTTATCTGAAAATACCATTTCAGGTTTATATTTTGACTAAAGCCGATAAACCTTAATCACAACAGTGACAGCGATACTGGTTACTGCTAACAGATAATGAATACTATCTTATGCATAATAAAATCATCAATGAATGTAGAATTTTACATACAAGCATGAGGGCATTGGTGTCCAGAACTACTCCATACAGTCGCACAATATGTTCATGATCAATAGCATGCATTATTGCTGCCTCTTTCAGAAACTCGATTGGGTTGTTCTGCATGCGCTCACGGCTTAGACATTTAATAGCCACTTGGATCTGCACATAAAGAAAAGACATGTTAAAGTTAATGCCCTGAATCAGTGCTTTCAGTGACCATTAAGTAAATCTTGTTTGCAGCAAGACAGCAGATATGCTTTGGTCACAGTTTCTAACATTCTTGTTTATCTCACACATATATACACACATACCCAAGAAGCCCAACAGTATAACACACGCAGTCTCAGGAGCACGACACAACAAAAGCACAACACACAAGATAATGAAGGAATGCTCCAACAAAGGAGAATGGGCGTGACTGACGTAGTGAGGGGCGACGTAGCGAAGTGAGTATCCTGAACAATTTTAATATTTTTAACGTTTGACAATGCATATGATAGATACATATTTTAGTTATTTTAATGTGTGAACATGGCATGCAATGAACTGGTTTGACGTGGATAAGTAAGCACCTGAAGATGGCATTATTATGCCGAAACATGTAGTGCGAGGGAGAGAAGGAGATAAATGAGTGTATGCACTGCAAGACGGATTAAATAAATCATGGACATATATACAAGGTTGGGAAAATAAGTTCTGACACTCATTTCTAATTTTGCATCGGGCAATCTGGAAATGGTGTTACTTGGAATGTTAGGTGATGCAACAAGACAGAGCTCACATGGAAAGTTTGGCTAAATTGTGTTCAGTATTTGCTGAACAGTAGCTTGTTAGATCACTCTGTGTCATCAACTTTGTCCGGACATGAAAATGAAGCATATGATGGAACAGAGAGTGAAAGTGAATTTTTGTGCTAAAGTGCAGAAATCACCAACCAAAATGTTAGAGATGTTAAAAACAGCTTATGATGAATCCCCAGGCCAAAGAAACCACAGATTTCAAAGTTCAAGTTCAAAATAAAGTTGATCCGTTTTTTCGACATCAGGGGTATCATCCACTTTGAATTTGTACCCGAAGGGACCACTGTTAGAAACTTTACATGAAGGTGTTGAAAAGGCTTATTGATGATATGAGCTGCAAGCTAGGGCAATTGTGGAGAGATCACTTGTTGATTCTTCACCACATGTCAGCACATTCACTTCGAGTGTCACAGTTTTTAGGAGAGAAAGACGACTCTGTATTCTCCTGACTTGGATCCAGTTGATTTCTGGGTGTTTCCACAATTCAAAGAGTGCAGTGAAATCAAAGCATTTCTCGGACACTGAGAACATTAAATCTGAGAAAAATATTTTGATATTCCTGTTCAGGATTTTAAAAACTGTTTTGAACAATGGCCTAAGAGCTGGGAACATTGTAAAGAATTGTAAAGAAATTACTTTGAAAAATTACTCCATGATAATATTTGCAGCTCTTAAATTTTATTTTTTAATTAGTCGCAAAACTTATTTGTCTGACCTTGTACATTGTCAGTTATGAACTTATTTTCTGTTGTTATACAAGCTCTAACACTGTGATAGAAAAACCCAGCTCCATGAGATTAATCTTAATGTTATCCTCCCATCTTCTTCTTGATTTTAGAAGTAGGCATTTCCTAAGAGGTTTCCTCATCAAAAGTCTATATGCATTCTCACTCTTCCCCATCCTAGCCATAACCAACATTTTAACAATATCATGTGACCTCTAAAATTAAAAAGTTTCTCATCATGTGACATACCAAACTGCTCACTCCATTCTTCTTAGGTCCATATAATTTGTTATAAAAGATCACATGGCCTTTGCTGTTTCGATAGTGGAACAACTGCCTAAGTATTTTTCAATGCAAATAAGGGTTAATAAAATATTACATTACATTCATGAGCCTTACCAGCATTACATACAACACTTGAACATATGGAACCAGACCAATGACCATCAATAAAATAAATAATGAGATAATGAGCAACATGAAAAGTAATCTACACAGAAGGGCAATCTAACAAGTTCAGAATAAAACTGCCAGATAATAAAACTCGTAATACTGGCTATTACATTTGAAGTCACCTCACTGTTTGTTTCACATAATTAATACACATGTGGTAGCGTAGTTGGTTGAGGGGCTATGCTACAAGCCGGAAGGTTATGGGTTCAAGTCCCGATGAGGTCATGGGATATTTTTCAGTTGACCTAATCCTTCCAGCCGCACTAGGCCATGGGGTTTACTCAGCCTCGAACAGAAATGAGTACCAGGAATTAATTAAATAATTTTCCTGGGGAGTAAAGCATGGCCGGCGCATAAGGCTGACAACCTTACCGCCATCTTTGAGCCGATTGTCTAGATAGTGTGGGACCCTCAACGTCTCACAACCCTATGGGCCTTCACGGCCTGGTACAGGGATAGCTTTACTTTTACTTATTTTTCCTTGGCACTACAGCCCCAGTGGACCTAGGCCTACCTCCATGAACTTCTACGTTCACTTCGGTTTTTCTAGATCTTACACATTCTGTAGGACTCCTTGGGCGGGTGATCAGCTCGTAGCAAGGCCTCTACCTGTACACAAACACACACACACACACACAGACACAAACTAAACATCCATGCCTTGAGTGGGATTCGAACCCACGATCCTGGTTTCCAAGCGAGCGAAGACAGTACATGCCTCAGACCACTCAGCTACCATGACCGGCTTACTTTTACTTTACTTTAATTAATACACATAAGAAAGTGTGGCTGGACTCATGATACATACCCTATCTCCATCATTTGTCCACACTCCCTGTTGCACTACTCCAAATTCCCCTGTTCCCAGTTCCTTGTTTACAATTATTGCTTCTGCTGGTATAATGTGTTTATTTGGGACTTTTATTGGAGGTTTATCTATTAACTCATCTGGTAATGTGCACAGTGCAGGTACCTGCTCCTCTTTGCGAAGCCAGATTATCTAAATAAAACATAATAACATTCAGTAACTTAACCTCGGTCTTCTGGAATTAGACAGTGGAACTTCTTGCATATTAGCTGTAACAATTATGCCACAATGAATTAGTTGCCAGAGCTCAACTGTCAAAATGGAATGCAGCATGTGATAGTAGATTGGCTTTGAGATATGATAGGCCTAAAACCTTCCACACTATGACCAAGATAAGTCAACTTATAACCAAATTCTTCTGCCTTGATTACTGTAGGCTATCATCAGTGAAGAGAAATATTTTCCACTGCCTGTTTACAGTTCAAACCATCAAGTTCCAGTTAAGGCAACACAAATTACATGTTTCCATGGAAATTTTAAATAAGATATCTATGTTCAACAAAATCTGGCACAGATATGGTTTAAAACAGAAGAGTTTTATGATCTGGGAAATAATGTTGTGCACTACATGGTGAGAACCTCAAATCCTATACAGGGTTAAGACACATACCACATATTACTCCTCAGTAAAGTGTGTTATCTGGAACTATGATATGGCCAGCAAACTTCCTAATCTACACAAATTACTCGAATTGCATCAATAATGTAAAGTGGCCACCATAATCAAAATCTCAGAGAAAATTATTAAAATGCATAAGTTTTCTGGCAATCTACAAAAAAATATTATAAGGGCAGTTCTGAAATCATATATCTTAGACAGTCTTCACAACCAATCCACCAATTTTAAGTAAACTCTCTAATTTATAAAAATTAATACAACAGTAATGTAAATGGGCCACCATCATAAAAACCTCAATGAAAATTACTGGAATGGTTAATATTTTCGTGCAACATACAGATTAGTCATAAGAGCAGTTGTAAAATATGTCCTCTTACAGAGTCATTATCAACCAATCCAACTATGTTTAATTACACTACTCACAGAACCAAAACAAATCAGAGTTCTCACCTCTGTAACTCAAAATAATGATGATGCAAAAATTATATGTTCTTTTCCTTTTACATGAACCTACTGAATTAAAAAAGTTATGACCATATTACTCTTTAATTTTTGTGTCATATATGGCAAATGGAATCAAATACATATTAATTGCATGCCACTTGTCCAACTCCAGACTTTGCTGTCAAATAACCTCCTCAAAAATCATGCTTGGGTCCCTGTTCCAACAAATCTTCATTCTGTTGATACACTAAATCCAGTCATTATTAGTAATCACACTTTTCAAGAATAGTCCCAGTTTTTAATAAATTCTTATATAAAATTAAATTTACAACCTACCTTTTTAAACTTAGATAAATAATTTTGAGGGAAATGTTTCTGGAAGTATTTTTTTAGCCTCCGCATTTCTGGCTTTGACATCCCAATGGTATGGAGGTCATCTTCAGTGACATACTTCAGCTGTGGAACATTCTGTACCTGTAAGTAAATAAATAACCAAAAACCAAAATGGGCAGAAATACCACATAAGCATTCGGAATTACCACTAATTAACTAACAGTATGATAGCAGAACCCAAAAGATTAACACTGCTAAGACCAAATCTATCATCATTAAACAAAATCACAAGCTAGTTCCCTCTACTTCCCATCATAACCTACTTCCTCAACCCAATGTCAACCAATATCATTTTGAAGACATGGTTGGCCACTCTGGATTTTTGAGACATTTTGAAACAAGAGATATTTAAAATTGATACTGACAAAATTATTTTTTGTACATCCTATCAACATCAATCCCCACCAATGGTATCTCCATCTTATCGTGGTGACTTTGTGAAAGGCATAATTCGGGATTACCAATGTGCGTTTCGTCAAGGAAGATCAACTAACAATCAGATTTTCACTATTCATCAGGTCCTTGAAAAGTGTAATGAATTCCAAATTGAACACATCATCTTTTCACTGACTTCCAATCAGCCTATGACTCCATAGATAGAGATAGTCTTTTTCTGGCAATGGAAGAGAGGCACATTCCATGGAAGTTAATCGCCTTAGTCAGAGCCACTATGAGAAAGACCCAATGCCAAATTAAGATTCAGAATATGTTGTCCAGCCCTATAATAACTAGAAATGGAGTTCGACAAGGGGATTCCCTAGCCTGCCTCTTGTTCAATATAGCATTAGAGAAGGTAGTTAGAGATGCAGGGATCAACACAAGGGGAACTATATTCTGTAAGTGAATATAACAAGCTTGCAGCAACAGACTTCATGATATGCAATATCACATGAAGAGTTTTTAACCATATTTTACTCCATAACTTTCGTTTTATAATAAGTTTATAATTCATTGTATTTTTATACCATGTATTTTATAATGTAACAGTTATCAAGTATCCAGCTTTACTATCGCAATGAAATAGCAGTTCAATAGTGTGTGAATGTGTGAATATAGTAATCATGTGTTTGCCTGATGATGGCTTTAAAAGCCGAAACATGTAGCTAAGGTAATTTTAACCTTTACTGTTATGTTGTTGTGTTGAGACAGACTCCAATCCAGTCAATATTACGCTGGCTCTTAATATAAATGGGATGAAGATTACTGATCAGCAAACCATCGCTGCTACCTTCAATGAGCATTTTGCTACGATTGCTGACAAAATTAGAAAATATGTAGATAATTCTCAATTAAATAGATTTAATAATGATGGGGGAAATCATATACATTTTATTAAGCAGGCGTTTGATAACACATACCCTAATATGGGAAATAAAGTCTCGACAGTAAAAGAAATTGAGCAAATTATCAAATCTTTAAAATTAAAAAATTCATTTGGATATGATGAAATATCTACAAAAATTCTGAAACTCAGTGCCCCTTTTATAAGTTCACCAATAAACTACATATGTAATAAAATGCTATCTCAAGGTGTTTTCCCTGATAGATTAAAATATGCAACAGTAATTCCTCTACACAAGAAAGGGGACTGTAGTGATATGTCAAACTATAGACCTATATCTCTCCTAACTTCATTTTCAAAGATTTTTGAAACAATTATGCACATAAGAATTTTAAATCATCTAACTAAATATAATATACTAAGTAACAGTCAATATGGATTCAGAAAGGGTTTGAAAACAGAAGATGCGATCTATAAAGTTACCTCTGAAATTTTAAATGCTATGAATAATAAATTATATGTGGGAGGGATCCTCTGTGATCTAGAAAAGGCCTTTGACTGTGTAAATCATAAGATTTTGTTGTCCAAATTGAAATTTTACGGAATAAATGGCATAAACTATACACTATATCAATCCTACCTGGAGAATAGGTATATTAGAACACTCGTTCACAAAGACAGTAACAACTTTGTCTCTGAATGGAAGACAATAAAAAACGGTGTCCCACAGGGGAGTGTACTAGGACCTTTGCTTTTTCTTATATATATAAACGATTTACCCAATGTAATAAATAAAACTTCTTTACCTGTACTCTTTGCAGACGACACGAGTATCTTATTCGTTCAGCCCAATATAACCGATCTTAATAATGTTATGCAAAATACTTTTGAAATTTTAAACAAATGGTTCATAACAAATTACTTATCCCTTAATTTTAATAAAACACACTTTATTCAATTTACAGCTAAGAAAATTCTAACTTCAAATATGAAGATAGGGATAGGCAATAAACTTGTCACGAGTACTCCCTGTACTAAATTTCTTGGAATATCAATTAATGAAAATTTGTCATGGGACAATCATATAGAAATACTAATAAAAAAGTTGAGCATGGCTGGTTATATAATCAGAAGTGCTAAAACTTATATGTCTACATCATCACTAATAATAATTTATCATGCTTTTTTTCATTCTTTGATGACTTATGGAATTATATTTTGGGGCAACTCACCACATAGTAAAAAAATTTTCTACCTACAAAAAAGGGTAATTCGAATCATAGAAGGATATGGGAATAGGGTTTCTTGTAGAGACTCATTTAAAAAACTTCATATCTTGCCTTTGAAATCTCAATATTTATTGTCCCTGCTTATTTTTGTAGCCAAAAATAAAGATCTTTTTACAACAAATATTGAAAGTCACAGTGTGATAACTAGGCATGGTAATAATTTGTATATTCCACAGGTTAATCTAGCCATCTATCAGAAAGGAACTTATTATTCTGGAATAAAATTTTACAATAAATTACCTTCCAATATTAAGAATGTTAGTGACAATTTAAAAATTTTTAAATCTACTCTAAAAAGATATTTACATATGAATACATTTTATACATTAGACGAGTTTCTTGAACATGAATCTTGATCATTAATTGACTGTCATTTTACGCTTAATTTACTATGTATATATTACTTGTATTACCTATTCTACTCTGTTAAGATTATGTTAATATTTATTGTACATATATCAATTGTTACTTTATATTTATAGTTTTGGATATTTTAATATTCTTTTTATATATATATATATATGATTGGTTTTATTGACTTATTTATATTTGTTTGATATTTATTGATCTTTATAACCTAAAACTACTGATATTCTTACAATTTTTACTCTGTTGTGTCCACTGTGTATGTGCCTATTTGATGATATTAATCAGTTTTCTCGTATGTTTTATGGTGTGGTATGTATTTGAGAATAACATGACAAATTCTGTATCCTTATTTTGGATTTTGAATGAAATAAAATTATAATAAACATAATACAATTAGGATAACAACTGATGTTCCTGATTTTGTTACAGATTGTAGGTAATAGCACTTTATTGTTGCATGTGACGGTTTATGTTCATGTATTCATGTTTTATTAATATTTATATATGGCTAACTGTTATGACATTGCACAATTGTTATGCAGTATGTAATTACGCTTACTCATGTTGACTTCTTCTATATCCATCTTCATGTATTCAGGTATTCATGTTTTTGTAAATATTTATATATGGCTACTGTTATGACATTGCACAAATGTGATGCAGTATGTAATTATGCTTACTCATGTTGACTACTTCTATATCCGTGGTGTTTTGAAACAACCATGTAAGGATTTATGGAATGCTGAATAAATATCAAATAATATCAAATATCATAATCATTTTCAAAATGCTGTCTACCTAATATGGAAGATAGAATGCAAGATATCATTATTTGGGAGAACAGAAAATGAAAGTGTGACTGAAAAATCATTGGACAAACATTCTGATTAAATCAAAAAGATAAAAAGGAATGTGCATATAGTGAAAATTTTAAAATTCCACTTCATTCTGGTATATTTTCCATTACTATTCACTTTAAATCTGTTCTAAATATTTTGTGCTTTAGTTAATGTATTCTAAATAAACTCACCGAAATAAATACCTTTCTATTTTTTTCCTAAAACTCTCATTTAAAAATTGTATGCATCTTAAGGCACATCCACATTACTCGTGCTCGTGCTCGCCAGGCTTGTGCTCATCGGCAGACTCGTCTGGCTTTTACTTGTGCTCATAAATCTTCGTCCACGCTACTTCAGTTGCTCACCAGGCTTCAGTGCATGAGGAACTGTATATTTACTCATAGTGTGTATAGGCTGTAGTCCTGTTTTAATTTATTGACTATAGTTTTTAAATTAAAATTTTAAAATTTGCTTGTCTCGTGACTTGTCATATCGTCCACATTACTTACGAGCATAGTGAGTCACATGAGCACGAGAACGAGCACATGTAATGTGGATGCACCTTTAAATTCAATGGTGTCTTATATTCAAAGTAATATGCTGCTGCAGGAGAACAATGAAAAGAATACTCTCAGAATGTAAACTTGTCAGGCCAGGTCCTTGCCAGAACTATAATCATCTACCTTCAGATCATTCTTAATTCCTGCATAATATTGTTGAAGCTCTGCTTCTATAAGGAATTCATACAGACCAGGCCCACGGACAGCAGACATATTTGCCTGTAAGAGAAATACTAGTTTAACGAACACATATCTAGCAGAAAATTAAAAACAAAATTACTCCCAATTTGCAAATAAGTGGATGGGTAGTGGACCACTTTCTTGGTTCCGCATTCAGTACTTCACCCCACAGTTGAGAGAGGATATAAAGGAAAAACTGGACTCCTCAAAAGTGACACTGCTAGAACAGTTAAAGGAAGATTATTGGAAAAAGTTGTTCAAGATACACATGGCAACAGCTGAATTGCAAATTGGATGTAAGGATGCTACTTCAAAACACATAAAATGTAAATTATTTACACTGACATCTGTACTGCGCAACTTCTTCCATTGTTTAATTTCATCATTTCTAAATTTGAAATACCAACATTCTTCTACAGAAACAATATATACAGAGTATAACTAAATATACATTACAATGCTCTGTGGTAGATAGATGGGTTCAATCTGATCATATTTTGTTAATACACCCATGCCCGGAAATGCTTTGTTTATATGTTAGGGCACCTGAAATGTGAAGGACCTTTACCAAGGACAGTATTTTGAACTCAAGAAGGAGCCATGTATGGGCTCAAGAAAATCTTAATGCGAAGCACATCCGAAGCCACCAACACTGCTTCACCATCAATGTGTGGGCAGGGGCTATCAATGGACATCTAATTAGCCCTTATCTCTTACCTCTGCGACCTACTGGTGACAATTACCTAACATTTCTCCAAGAAACCTTACTCGAGCTGCTAGAAGTGGTGCCTTTGAAAGTCTGTCATGAAATGTGGTTCCAGCATGATGGCGCCCCAACGCACTGCACAATGTTGTCCGTGAGTATTTGCATGAAACCTTTGGCAACAGAGGGATTGGACATGGACACCCAATAACCTGGCCCCCTCACTCCCTTGATTTGACTCCACTGGATTTCTTTCTCTGGGGATACATGCAAAGCCTGGTGTAAAAGTCTCTAGTGGAGACACAACATGATCTTGTCACAAAAATTGCAGCAGCAGCTGGAACCATCCAGGAAATGCCAGGAATCTTTCAAAGAGTTCAGCATAACATAGCCAGGCGGTGCAGAACATGCAATGAAGTCAGCAGCCGCCATTTTGGGCAACTTTTATAATGTAAAACAATGGTAACATCCCCTAAAACTTATGCATTGTCTCTAAAACTTTTATGGCCCCTAGTGTCAAAAAGAAGTGTTTCTGGATATTGGTGTATTAAAAAATATGATCAGACTGAACCCATCTATCTACCACAGAGCACTGTAACATATTTATTTACACCCTGTATAACTGATGTACTGTGCCACTGGTCATTTTTCTCTAATACATCTGTTGAAAGCTAAAAATTTGATGTCTCCAATTTATTATTTTTGAATTCACACTGATGAAACCCCATATAACAACTTATGAGACCCCAAATAAAAATGTTTGGTAAGATTTTGAGAGCAGTCAGTAACAGAGAGACTCCTCAACAATTACTGAAATTGGTTTTATCATTATTATGGATATGCAAAATAAAGGATTCACTTCTTCCTTGCAGAAATTCCCTCATTGTTTAAATAAATGCTTAAGACCGCCTACTATTTGTATATCAAGGCCACGCCGCAGCTCAAATGGTTAGTTGCTGGCTTCCCACCGTGGCAGCCCGGGTTCGATCCCAGGTCTGGTCAAGTGAGATTTGTGGTGGACAAAGTGGCGCTGGGGCAGGTTTTCTCACAGTACTTCGGTTTCTCCTGCCAATCTTCATTCCACCAATTGCTCCACAATCACCCTCACCTATCATCTGGGGCTGGTACAATAGGCCAGAAGTGGCCGCAGTACAAGGGACTTAGTCCTGCCCCACTAACAATAAAAAAAAAATATTCGTATATCGCATGGTGCTGTGTACTTTCAGTGAATGTTGCTCTTCTTTAGGCCGTCATCACTAAAATTAATGTACTACATAAATGGAATGGAAAGTAAGGAGAGAAAGTGAAGCTTATAAACCTACAAAATGTTATCAACTGCCTACTTCCTGGCTTAATAACGTTATTTGCTATTATCTAAGTTGGCACCACACCTGATATAAATAATTTTAATTGCTTACTCTTTAGAGTAATAACTAGGCTAAATCACCGAGTTGAAAAGAACTCATGCTGTAGTCTAATTAGTAAATCCTGGTATCTTACAGCTCCATGGTGCTTTCATACATTTTGTAGAAACCTTACATTTCGTGTTCTAACACATAACATTGTCAGTCATTCACTTCATACAAGTAAAGACCTTTACAGCCTATTAAATTGGGCGGGGAACGCTATCCAAAGGTGTCATGTAGGTCCTTAACGAACTGATTATTTCATATAAATATATGAACTTACGCTTTATTTCACTTCAGCAACACAAATATGTTCAACTTCTTTGGCCTCACTCGACTTAAACGTTTCGCACACCAGAGTAAGACACACATATTCTTTATTCTGCTTTCGCTAAAGCAGCATAAACAATGTAACTGGTACACTAATAAAACTGACTGAATTCCATACAAATGACATTTTACTGCATTTCTATCTTATCAATAAAATAACTTTTCGACGTACAGTCAAAGCAAAAACTTATGATATAAATTAAAAGAGGGAGAAGCATTTGCTGCAGCTAATTATACCAGCCTCTCAAATAGAAACCTCACGACCCCAAAGAACCGAAACGTGCCAAATCTACGTATCGCTACATACGATCCATACGATCATGACCATCATGCCCGATCACAAGCAAACAGCATTGCCCAACACGTACACGGGAGTCATGTTACACCTGGTTAGGTACCTCTTCGCTCACCGTAAGGATGGTAAGGATCGTAAGGATGATTAAATACAGACATGCAACTGAACATTATTTGTAGACAAAGATGAGAGAAAAAAAAGGCACTGATTACTAAACACGTTCTACCAATCGGTACCGACACCCGAAGCGCCTGAAGCCGTGTGGAGGGTATGGAACGGTGAGGAACTTAAGGAAAAGGAACTACTTGAACTACATGCAAGCAAATCATCCTATAATTGAAGCAAGCAGTCTTCTGGGATTTGGCACCGTGTATATGTGGTGTTAACCGACGTTTCGGAGGAACGTATCGCCTCCATCTTCAGGGTAGAAGGAAAATTATAAGAAATCTGCAAGCGAAGAGACCGTGAGAACCAGTACAAGCAGACTTACAGTCTTACATCCTATAATTGTTCACAAATATGTCGAATCGTCGTATATCTGGCCCAATCACAACATCGTGAATACTTTGACACTATTGGTAGGAAATGAAAACAACACTTCATGCAGCCACTGCCCAGCACCCAAGAATTCAGTCGGCAACAAGCATGGTTTTTACTATCGGTTACTATCCTACTCCCACTCACCATTCTCAACAGAACAGAACAATGAACAACCCTGTACCACTGTACTGAACGTCAAGTATAAACTTGAATGCGGTCTCCTTTCTATCAAAATATGACCAATTTGACTGTGTCTTTCCATTTGGAGATGTCAAAGTAAATTTATGAATGTCATGATGATTGCCTATAATCACACCATGCAAAAAAACCCCACCGCAGAATCGACATTAATATAGGTCTTCAGGAGTGTGGCTATTAGGATAGGAGGTGGATGAAACTAGTTACGGGTCATGTGCAAGGGGAGGCTTTGGTATGTGGTAAACCTTGAGGTCTTGCTACTATAGTGTCAGTTACACATCAAATCAGAAAGTGTCTCAAATGAAGGTTAGAGATCTTAATGAGATCAATATTTTACATAATTATCACCTTGTAGAGTAGATATTCTTTAGAAAATCAATATGAGATTCGTATAAATTTGGCTGTAATAAGTGAACATGAACCAAAACTGATTTTCCTGACATTTCTCATTATAGATCAACAATTCTAAGTTTGATCAAAATATGTTGTATAGTTACCAAAATGAAAGTCACAGCTGGACAGAGACAATGAGCTTCCAATTGTGTTCATGTGATGCACTTTGTGCAAAGAATACATACCTGAACCACAGGGAACAACAGTTTCTGTACTTCACATTACAATAAAACAAGAAACAGTTCTTTATTCTAAGACCTTTGGGCCATGTTGTACTTACGTGTACTTCTGTAATTTTCCCATTCTTCTCCTGATTATTGAAGCAGAGTGCAGTAAAATACAGATGGCAATACTGTACAGGGAAAAAATAAAATAAGTCTTCTGTCTTCAACTTTATGGGACATGAGGGACTGGAAAGAATTACGTAAGAAAATATGCGCATATTAAAGGTAATGTCAGGTGTTACATAATAAAGATAAGCTAGTCATATGAATTAAATCAATAGAAATAATAAAATATTCAACATAATTATTCTGTAAGTGGCAAATTATAATTAAGTGACTCAAATTTCACGGTAAGACCACATTATATCTTGGTACTCTAAACGAACATATGGAGCACATATACAGTATACAGTACATCAGCAGCAAGTGCCTCATCGCACATCAATTCATACACAAAATCTCTTCAACTCCTAGATATTAGAAGTAAAAAAACACTTTTGTGCTATGTTATTGTTTACATATAACAACACAAACTGATTCACTGTATTCTTCTGGGCTATCATCCTCTTGTACATTTCAGGAAAATCAACAATGTCCTTTTTAAAGCATCAATTACATACATCATCACTGTATCATTCAAAGTCCCACTTCTGATGTACGGACAGATTCTGAAGTTCATATAAGAACAAATTTTTTTTTTCCTTGGCACAACAGCCCCAGTGGGCCTAGGCCTACCTCCATGAACTTCTCCGTTCACTTCGGTTTTTCTAGATCTTACACGTTCGGTAGGACTCCTTGGGCAGGTGATCAGCTCATTGCAAGGATAAGAACAAAATGCAAATGTAAATTTACAAACATTCCAGACCAAGTCATTATTAGAAGAACTGAAATTGAAGTTCTGAAGATCATTGCCAGCAAAAAATCACACAAAATAAAACACTACACCTCAATGTAGGGAAATTATGTGCTTTCCAAATTATGTTAAAGAAATTAAAAAGGAAGGATAATTTTTGGCTCAGATTTATAAAGTACTTTTTTTAAGAACTCAAATGTAATGACTCTGTACAAGTAGCACAGATGTCATCATACATGACCTGCAAGAATTTACAGTTCTAATGATTATATACACCCACCACAAAGTTCCACTTTTCAGCATCAAAATAACTCCAGACGTTCCATCACAATAACTACAAATTCAAAACTGTCCCCGTTTGGGACCACGTCCACCACGTACTCCTCTAGAACCTCCATATCTGCCTCTCGAGCCACCTCTTGACATTCCACCTCCTCTTCCCCTGTTAGAGAACCCACCTCTGCCTCCACGACCACGGAACCCACCTTCCAGCTGGTGACGGAAGGGGCTGCCTTGTCTAGATGGAGGATAAGATCCTCCTCCTCCCCCCCAAGAAGTTGGACCTCTGTTTCCTCTATTATAACTTCCAGCTGGACTGTCCTCTGGTTCGGTTCCAAAATTCTGCCCGTTACTTGGGCTATTCCCTGCTTCCCCAGGACTCATAGGGTAACCTCCTCTGAATTTGTCATCACCACGAAAACTTCCTCCATGCCTAAAGTTTCCACCTGGACCATCTTCTTCATCTAGTGCAGATTCAGCCCAGCCTCCTTTTCTGGGTCCTGATCCCCACTCTTGTTCCAATAAGCTTCTAGGAGGATGGTTACCAAACTGTGGTCTTCCCATCATGAATCCTCTCCTGCTTGGCCCTTCAGTCTCCACTGGACCTCTGCTCCCAGAACTCACATCTTCTTTCTCATCATATGGCTCATGTAGGCTTTCTGAAGGGCCACCTCTCATTCCATCACAGAGAGGGGACCCCTGATTAGGTCGAGGTAGCAATGGCCCAATGCTACTGTTCTGGCGACGGAAGTCAGAGTCAAATGGTCCAGTCATAAGCTGAGAAGAAGGAAGCTGTGGTAACATGCCTGGATTGCCACGCAAGTCTAAATCTCCTCCACCTTCTGCTCGCATGTCCTGGTCAAATCTGGAAAGCCACAAATTGACATTTACCCCAACGTAGCTCGTCTTTGTGTTTATATACAAATGCCAATTTTAATTTGAGAAATTAACAAAAAAATTACTTTGTCCATTACCTAGTTTCCTCTTTTCCTTCTAATTCACATCTCAGCACCATACATTCAAACTGTTCATCAAATGTAACTTAATTCGTATAACATTTATGACAGAGTCTCACCCTTGATGGTTACGCATGTCCTCATCCATTAAGGGTCTTGGGAGCAATGGGTTATGAAGGTGTCTCAAATCGCTGTCCATCTGCAGTCTCCGGAAATCCTGATCACCTGTTCCTCCCAATGGCCCTGACACTAGAGCACCTCCAGGGGTCTGACGTAGATCCAAGTCCCCCACTGAAGATCCTGCAAGTGATGTCTATACAAATTAAGGTTCTGGTTTTGCACATTATTGCATTTTCTTACAATGAACTCTGCCCAAGCATATCAATATATGCAAAATCAGTCTGTCTTTATACACACTTCCTATGACTGGTATTATTAGTCATATTATCAGTTATGTCATCATCATAAAGTTACTAGATTATATTTTTGACATACTCCCTGTATTCATACACTGGAGGGATATTCAATCATACTTAAATAGGACTTTTCTTCTAAAATGTTGCCTACACAAAGTATGACATACACTAGTTCAAAGGCTAGATTTGCACAAAGTGACCTATTTGGCATCCATAAACCTTATCGTGATGAAATGCCACTATGATAAATAAAAGATATTATGTGTGGCATCACATCCTTTAATTCTTAAAACCTAAATTTAATGACAAAAGAATAATTCAGTGTTTCATCCTTGAAATGAATTAACTTTCACATGCCAAAGAGGTTAGTGTGTTCTGTTATTATTAAAGTTACATTATTTGAGTAGTTTATTAAAAATGCACATATGAGATTACTCTAATAAGCATGTAGTTATAAACATCAAGTAAGGGTTTACTAAAGATGTGTGGCATAATAAATAAGTAATTTCATTATTTTAGTGCAATTTAACCTTTGAATAAGAAGCTTTGCTATTGAACTACCTGCCAGAAATGCTAAGGCTGCTTGCGGGAAAATGTAGCTGCAGAGAAAAACCCACATGGCTATCTTCAAATGACCTTCAAACAACAGCAGATGTTGTCCATGTGCAAGCCCTTTCTTTCCCTAAACATCAGTATGTCATACCTAATGCCGTATTTTGAAAGAAACTCTACAGTGATCAATTGACAATGAGCTGATCTCTTTGGCTGAGGAAATTTTAATACGAATACCCCAAGAAAATCTAGTTATAAATGGCATGCTATGGATCAAGAAAAACCCATGTCAATAATGGATATTTTACTAGTACTTTATATAACAAAATGCTAATAATTAGCAAGCTCTGCTGCATATTCACCAAATTTGATTTGAATAAAATATTTTACAGGTCTGCTGGAGTTTGCTGTGAAGTTCATTGTGTGCATCACATATGATTGACCTGCTCAGTGACAGTACCTGTAAACCTCATGTCCTGATCAGGGGTGCGACCAAGCTGTGATCCAGGGCTAGGACGGAGTGCAGGGAAACTTAAAGGCCGTGGCTGCTCAAGAGGTAAACTGCGCATGTCTTTGTCTTCTGACCTACCACCCACTGGTGCATTTCTGAACAGAAACATATAATGTAAGCTGGTGATTCCTCAGCCTTATAGTATAAAAATGACATAATCAGATAATTAGTTGGAAGCGATATGTGGTCTTTAAAAACAAGAATGGAAAAATGTATTGTAATGTATAACATATATACTCTCCAAACATGCATTTCACAACATTATCTTCCTCACTGGTCCTTAGGTTCATTTGCTGCACATACAAATATATTGCCAATATATCTAATTAGTAGTTTAAGAGAGCGGTTCCAACATTGTGTTGGACTCCACGAATGGTTTCCAGGGATCCACCAAAACTTTCTCTAAAGACAAATTTTAATTTTAGGGAGGTCTTCAATAAGTAATATTAGGCAATAAAAAGAATTAGGAAGTTCATAATAGCGCATCACTTCTGAATCAAATTCTCTGAAGAACCATTCCCGGAATATGTCTCTTTTCATCCATGCTCTTTGGGTTAACATCCAGATAATTTGTAGATGCTGTTCAGAATACTCTGCTCGGAGTGTCTGCGAATGGTAGATGAGTAAGGCTTTCAGCCTTACACCTCCTAAAGCATTAAAACCCAGCACAAGTGTGAGGCAATCTTTGTTGGATTTGAATCGTTGTGCAGGCTTTTCTTCTTAGAACATGGAAAAAGTGTGACAGAATTATCTTCCAGTTAAGACCAGTTTAATCTACATTCATACCCAGCTCAGGATTATAAATACTATGCTTGATGACTGTTCTAGGATGAGAAATTCATGTGCTACTTGAAGATAAGTCACCTCACCATACACTTTTATTCTAACTAGATTACTGTGACATTTCAGGCTACTAAAAATTCTACAGAAGGCTCTAAATATTTTGATTGTTGATGCTTTCCTCTGCTTGTGAGTTTAGGAAAAGATTTTTTTTTCTGCCTTCTGCAAGATGATTAATTGGCTCAGAGATACATGGTGCTGCCTATTCAATCCTCATACTAAATAGTCTCTTCATTTTATCCAATAAATTATTTATTGAATGTGTGAGCTTTGCTGCAGTTAATACAATAGTACTTTTAGCTGATATTCTGATCTTCTCAGAATTTTGTATGATCATTCTGATGCCTGAAGCAGCTAGACCTACAGCATAGCCCACATCTACCTGATGCTTGCCTACTTCAAACTGCTCTATGACATCGTAAGTCTGAGCATGCTACTTCTGTGTCTCTCTTTATTGGGAATATTAACTCTGTCACTTGCATATATCCTGTTAGTCACTGTAAGTCAAAGATTTTCACTGAAACACAAAGATGCCACAATGCACAGATACAATATACAGTCAACTATCTGTCTTCACAAGAGCCCAAATAACTGAAATTAGTTCAAACAAATAGGAAAGTAAACAACTAGTTTAATACACAGCCTAACTGACTGAACCATTGCTCAATTGCCAGGACAGTAAACACTTACAATCATGACAACAATAACATTTTGTGCTGGGGTGTCACATCATACTACAGTTATTTAGCAGTTTTATCTAAAAAAAAAAAGGTCACAAAATAAAGAGCTCTTGAATGGATCGGCATTACACATGGTAGCATTATGCAGGGTATTACTATAAAAGGTAAATGATAAAGCTGTCCCTGTGATCAACGAATTAGACACTATGCCATGAAGGCAAGTGGGGGAGTGGATGTATAGATCCACATTTTCTTGACCTCGGCACTAGCTGAAGGTGAATGGTCAGCTTCACTCTCCAGTTGCTTTAGCTCGGGGAAAGAGCCCCTTGGATAGGAGGCTGGGTGAACCCCAGAGACAGTCCCAACAACGTGGAGAAGAGAAAATTCTTAACCCTACCAGGACTCAAACTCTGACCCCTCAGTTGTCCAGCCCGTAACCAGTCACTATACTGATTACACTACCCTGGCTCTGTAAGGTATGACTATAGGAAACAAGAAGTCTATATGTTCCAACTTCCCATGATTTCTTGGACCAGTATGAAAGTAAACTGAAGGAAATTGTTTTCAGTGATATTAGCCAATATCTGTTTGTCTTGCAATGCACATTTCTGGACTCCAGCTAGGGACAACACAGTGCAAGACTACTGAGATTTTAACAGACATATTGAATGACAACTGTAATTCTTAGTTGTGACTGTAACTAGGACGATTTCCACATCCGCATGAGAATGTATTCTCAACAGGATTTATGGAAGGTGAATAAATGTAAATAAAAATAAAAAATAAATAAAACATTACCTTTGATATCTTGTGGAAACAAAAATTAATTTAACTACCACAGGCTGAAATCTGGTGCAGTCCCCTTCAAGAATATCTAAATCTATAGCATTCAAATTCATCCATCTTCCCACAATTTATCTACATGAAGCTGAATTTTCAAGGTACATAGCTATTAAAAAAAAAAAAAAGGTCCTGCAAAAGACTGGATGTTGCAACTGAAATGAGGACATGGCCCTCTACCATCACTCCAGACTTTTGGAAATGTTTTGATGAGAAAAACACCACCATTCCTCATTCATTCATTCATCCATCTGTAATCTGTCAAGACGACAGGTCCACAGTCTCTTCCAAAACAGTTCCTCCACTTGATGCGATCTAGAGCTTTCTCCTTCAAATGAAAATATCCTCTTCTGTCCCCAAGGTCATCCAGCATCTCCTTACGTCTTCTTCCTCATCTTCTAGTCACTTCTATCCGCCCCTCTATCTTTCCTTCAATAACTTCTTTTAGAAGGCAGTTACCGCGTAAGATATGACCAATCCAATTAGCCTTCCGTTTTCTTATTTCATGTAGGGTATTCCTCTGCTCACTGACTCTAGATAACACTTCTTCATTTCTCACATAATCGGTCCAACTGATCTTCTCCATCCTTCTCCAACACCACATTTCGAAGCTTTCCAGGTGTTTCTGATCTACTGCCCTAAGTGTCCAAGTTTCAGCCCCATACAAAGCGATGCTCCAAATGTAGCATTTCACTAGTTTCTTTCTCAAATTTATGTCCAATTTGCTGGTAAAAAGATTCTTCTTCTTGCTAAATGCAGCTTTTTTCCATGGCAATCCTAGATTTAATTTCACACGTACACCTTCCATCATCTGTTAACACATTCCTCATGCTAATAGAGAATAGTGGAAAATGATTTTTTTCTGTTTTCTATTTTTCTATAGTGCCAATTCAAATAAGCACATTAATGCTCAAAGAATAAAACATCCAAGAAAATCACTGAAGTTAGGGTTCACAAGCAAAACAAGTAATATAAACTTCACTTCAGGTCAATGACTTCAGTTAAATTATACTACAACTCAATGTGTTCACTTATATTTCCTTTGATTCAGATTAAAATGGGCATGAATTTATTTTCAGCTTTACATAAACTAGACAACACAGTCAGCAGATTCCTCTGAACTGTCAGAAGCTTCATCCAGTACCCCTTGGTGTCTGAACCCAAAAGATTCTACAAATATTGTATTAAAAAACCTCAAGTCTTATCTTATGTTTTAAGTTATGTTATCTTGTTACCTGATGCTAGGAGTGTCACGATTGTTACTGGAAGACTTTGGTTCTAAATCAGCTTTTGTATCCTCACGATCACTGAATCGTGACTTCCTTTGATGAGTAGGATGATGCTGCTGCTGTTGTTGCTGTTGTTGCTGTTGTTGCTGCTGTTGTTGCTGAGCAGCTTTGCGAGCAAAGGCTGATGAGGGAAGAGGTGCAGGGAGCTCAATATCTGACATAGTCTCCAAATCCATGTTATCATCACAATCATCATATTCATCAAAATCATCATTATCATCTACATGTGGAATTACATCAGCCAATTCTTCCACTTCACCTGAGTCAATATAACGTTGTAATGCCACTGGTCCTGCAGCAATTGCACTTGCCAAACCTGGATTCCCTGTTAAACAAAGAAAGAATCACGGCTAAAGAAGCCTCAAATGTAATGTCTCCAGTTACCTGCAGCTCACAATTAGAGAGCAATCAACATTATCTACCTGTGACTATAGACAGGGCTTGGACTGGTGAATGATTTATTGACCACTTATACACATGACTCAGAACTACAAGTGATTACAGCGCTATCACTGATCTACACACTTTACAAATCACTACAACACACACTAAGCCCCAGTCTTTTATACTCTTCCCTAGTCGTTGCCTGGTAACAGCTCTCAACAATGAAGACTCTTCAGCTTCTGTGCTCATGCCATTGCCCAATGGCTAATACTACTCACAACTGACCTCATTGTCAAAGTCACATTGTGACTAACAATCAGTCAGCCAGTAAGTCTTGGGGTTGAGCTCCATCTGGGGCTCATGACCAGATATTTATTACTGTTTGACAGTAACCGTCTTGTTTTTGTGGGGCGCCCTCTTTGATGAGAGGACGGGTCTGTCTTTTGTACATGCTGATGGCCCTTGCCAGCGCAGTCTTTCTCGGGTCCGAGTCTCTTGGACTCGCGACCATATTTTACTGTCTCAGATTCAAGACTTCCCCACTGGCTAATACTACTCACAACTGACCTCATTGCTCCAACTGTCATGGTTATAACATCTCAGCACAGACTACACAGAAAACACCCCATTTCCAAAAGTAATTCTATTGTTGCATGTGTATTCGTTGCTAAAGGAAAGTGCTTACCAAATTGTTGCCCAGAAATGATCTCTGTTACAGAGTCACCACTTAGCAATGGGTACATACTCCATAATATAAAATTCATACCAGGAAGTGCAGAGGGGCTGAACATTCAGAATGTAATGTGCATGGGGACATTATGTAACAGAAAACTGGTTTCTTAACTACTTCAGCGGTACAACCAGAACTTTTCCATGAACATTCTGTTCTGACTTCCATGTTTTATTCTCTATTATATTTATTAGTAGTTGTATCTGTACCTGTCTAGACAACAGAGATTCTACCACATGCCATGCACAAGATCTATTTAACGAAACTGATAACCTGAGATGTGATTTTCAGCTCAATGGTTATCCCTAACAGTTCACTGACTGAGTTCTTAATTCCAAGGTAACAGTCATCCAGAAAAACTTTTTGGTTCTAAGTCCATCCCTCATGTGTAGATCATTTCAGAAAACTTCATATGTATAGCAAATGTTACAATATTACGAAAATCTTCAAAACTAAACACACTCTTAGGAGTTCACTCATGAGAATCAGACTGGAAAGAGATCTGAAAGAGACAGCATATGGTGTAAATAAGCATTGGTTTCAAAACCGTGCTTTCTAGAGCCTGAAGGCTCTGCAAATGGTTTCCAGGGGTTGTGTGGGAACAAACCATCTCTAATGACGAGTTTAAATTTTACATAATTCTTGAATAAGTAACATTTTGTCATTAAGAGAAACTGAAAGCCGATTTAATTGTGCAAAACACTGAGCTAACAACATCACACTGTACTTCTAAAGACCCTTACATTTGATATATTTTTTCCACATGAGGTCAAATCAATAATGAGAGGGGTATCTGCTATACACTACTGTGTCAACAGCAGAGTACAGGAACTTTTCATAGTGATGACAAAAAGTCAATTCTAGGAAACCAACAGTGGTTCCACTGTAGTCAAAGACTTCAGCACAGCCATTACCAGCACAGTCACACTACAAAGGTGTCAGGGCATTCACTGTTTCAAACCAATATTTCAGTTAAGCTTGACGTGCAGTGGCGTTGACACAACTGAACTGAGAGAAACATATTTGTAGTGTTTATTTTCCATCCATTGTGTTTAAGTGTATTTGCTGATTCAAGTGCCAACACTTGTGACTTATGTATTTCATTGTACAATTTTCATGATGAATAGGTGGCTAGCAGCAGGCAGTTTAAAGACATAATCAAACAGAGCTCCTGCTGGAACCAGAGAAATTCAGAGAAAAAGCTACTCCAGTGCCACTTCATGCATCACAGATCTCACAAGAAAGTCACTGGCAATGAACCCAGGGCTCTGTGGTGAGACGCCAGCATCTAACTGCCTGAGCTACTGCATGGTCCCCTTTAAGTAAATATATATACAATTAAAGAATTGGAAAGTATTTTTTGAGAGACTACATATAATACGTGGCCTCCTTAATGCTTCTAAAATGTTCAGGAGTACAACCTGCTATGACCAGCTCAATTTACAGTTTAAATACTTCGAGAAGGAAAGCATAACAGTCTACCAACCACTATACAGCGTATGTCTTAGGCACTATCTCTCTCTATGGTACATGTAAGATGAAGCTTTGTCCTCCAATTACAGTCTGATCCCTAACAAGGGCTAGTTAGATTTCTGTTGGATAACAGGTTATACAGTAGTTTTATGCTGCTGATCATATTCTGCCTCCTTCACCAACATAAACTAACTACTGGTTTATAAACCATTACTCCATTACTAACCTTCAACTGGGAGGAGCTTTCCATAAACAATAATAGCCTGTGGCTGCAGCTGTCTAAGAGGCACAACTCCCGGGGGTGGATTTGTTTCTATTAGGTGTGTAATAACCTCAGTTATTGGATCCTTTGGTGTAATTAAAGATTTACGACCCCTCCACGAACTATCTTCTTCATCACTTTCTTCATCTGAAAACGTAAAATAGTAAGGATTAATAAAGAAATATGGATGTACGTAGGGCAGTCAAAAAGTACCCGGAATTCCCTTGCAGACAGAGAACGAGTGATAAGATAGCGCACACACTGTTGTGATGGGGAGCTCAGCATGTCTGCTCGCAGGCGCAACAGGCCTGGACAGGTTCAAGTGTGCAGTGTTGTTACTGTTCCGTTTGAATTAGACGTGAGTGTTGGTCATTTGGCGCAATGTCGCAGTTCGAACAGCGTGCAAACATCAAGTTCATTTGCAAATTGAGAAAATCTGCTTCAGAGACGCAATCAGCCCTTCAGCAAGTTTACGGTGATATTGCACTAAAGAAATCAGCAGTTTACGACTGGTTTTCCCAGTTTAAGAGTGGGCAGGAGACGTCAGAGGATGACCAGCGCAGCAGGAGACCTTTGACATCCAGAACCAAAGAAATGATTGGAAAAGTGCGACAACTGATTCGATGTGATCGAAGAATGACCATCACGGAGTTTGAGCAAAAAGTTGGTATCTCTTACGGATCCATATATACCATTTTGTTCGATGATTTGAAGGTGAGCAGCTTCAGTGCAAAGTTTGTTCCGAGGCAGCTGACCACGGATCAGATGGAATGTCACATGATGGTTGCTGGCAATCTGTTTGACAAAAGTATGCAGGACCCGACATTTCTCAAAAAGATTGTCACTGGTGATGAGTCATTGGTACCCGGAGACAAAGATGCAGTCATTGGAGTGGCACACTGCATCGTCTCCCCGACCAAAAAAATCACGCCTCGTCAGATCCAAAGATAAAGTGATGCTCATTGCATTCTTTGGTGCATCATGAGTTCGTACCGCCTGGACAGACTGTTATTGGCCATTTCTACTTGCAAGTTTTGCAGAGGTTGGGCAATGTGGTTCGGAGGAAGCAGCGCGACACGTGGCAGGGACAGTAGTTTCTGCATCATGATAACGTACCAAGACACACATTGCTTGTTGTGCAGCAATTCCTCGCCGAGAAAAACATTTCTACCATCACTCAACCACCGTACTCTCCAGATCTTGCTCCAAGTGATTTTCGGCTGTTACCTACTTTGAAAATGGGCCTCAAGGGGACACGTTACCCAACCATGGAGGACACCAAATCGAATGTGACAGCTGCGCTCCATAAGATTCCAAAAGAAGCCTTCCACCGCTGCTTTCAACAATGGCAGGATCGATGAAGCAAGTGTGTGTGTGTGCGCGCAAGGGTCCTACTTTGAAGGTGATTAGGTAAGCGTTGTCGTATGTCCTACCATTAGAGTGCTACACCACCATTCCGGGAACTTTTTGACTGCCCCTCATATATGTCTGTCTGTATGCATATTTTACAAAATCACAGGGAAATATGTTCAAAAGAGGAACATAGTATTTGGGTCATGGAAATAAATATTTATATACTATGCTTGTCCAATGTGTATTTGCTTATACAAGCAAAGACAAATGTGAATGATTACTTGTGGCACATGGAAATTCTGAAGGTAACCTGACTGCCAAACATGTTCTAGTGTTGTACACAGTGCACATAGTTCATCTGATCCATCATAACTGGTTTTGGTGATCTACACTACATCAGAGACAGAGAAGTGGAGAAAACTCAAGTGAGAAAGGGACACTGGATGCTATTACACAGGTAAATACCAGAAAGAGTGTATCTAATGAGTGTGATGTTCCAGCTTCCTGTCTGCAGAAAGGCTTATAGTGTCATCTACCAAAATCTTATGGGTTGAGCAACTTATTTTCTCAAGACTCACCTCGACCATCATCATGATTTGCTCTCCCTGTCTCATTCCACTGAGCCTGGAAATTCCTTGGAATTGGTTTTGAATATGGAACCTGTGAATAATAAAATTACTTCTCCATAAATTCCAGAAAAATAGCAATTAATACATTACAGTATCGAATTTATCACGAGTACATACCTTAAAATGTTATGAAACAAATTTTATTTATGTTACACATTACAAACATGGGGAATGCACGAAACTTTGACGTTATATCTAGAATATCTAAAATGATAGGAATCTGACTGTTCGAAATTATGCACAGAAAAATTCATTAACTGTAGAATTATTAATTTATAGTTCCTTAATTTCAGGTGGCCTCACCATACAGACTGAAGGAGAGGAAGGAAAGAATGTATCACAAGTTCTTTCCAACATTTCTTGGCTTCTTTCCTGTATTTTTAAAATTTTAAAAATTACCCTTTGAATTCCAGGATATCTGACTTTTAAAATGCATCTACTGACACCATATACTGGTGTACTTACGAACATAAAGCTGCCTGAATGGCAACAAACACAATTATACAATATGAACTGACGTCAGTTCAGAGCAGCTTCTACTTCAACATGGTGCAGAACACCTACCAACATGCATGAAGACTTGGACTTTCATGCAGCAGATAACCAACAGAATGCCTACATCAGGAGGTGTTAACCTTTATCATCCAGGAGTATGGATTCATCTCCAGTACTACAAGTCCAGGATCCACATTCCAAAAAATGGGGATAACAATTTATCATCTGGCAATCTCCTAATTTTGCATGAATGATATCCACATTTTAAATCTGGGTAGTATCAGCATTAATACTGGGGGGGGGGGACTTGGCTAGCTGGACTGTGTGCATGCAATGTTGCAATAATATTATCAATGGCTAGTGAAGATTAATTATAAGATATTAATGTAAATATAATTACCAAGAAACAGAAGACTCAGGACCTTCATGCAACAAACAACCAACCAAAACAGCTGCAAAATATAGCTGACTGATTCACTTTTTGTGGTTTGGAAGGATGGCTGTTGAGGGCTCTGATACCTTTGTTTTCATGCATGGAAAGTTGGTAGTATATGGAATTTTGGGGTAGTCTTATGAGACTCTAAGAGGAAGGTAATTTTTGTTTCAAATTAAACTTGATTCAGTATGCCAAAGAAAATGGAAACAGGGCAACCATAAGACTTTTAATCCTCCACAAACAGAGGAAATTATATGTGAATGGAGGAAACAAGAGGAAGAACTACAGAAATTACACAAGAAATAACTCTTTTCACACCCATGTTGCAAAATGGCCTCAACTGGAAGATGTGAAAACATGGCTAACAGATCACAGAATTGAATTTTTGTGTCCATGAAGATGGTCACTGATTTTGTAGTAAAAATTCTTGGTACTACAGATTTATGAAGGGGCATGGCTTAAGCATCTATACTTGAGCTAGGATAGCACACAAAATGGCAGCCAAGTACAAAACCAACATTTTGGGGTTTCAGAAATTTGTGATTTCAGCAAGGAAGAAATCATGTTTTGAACCTGGGCAGATTGGCAACGTGGATGAAATTCTTCTAACTTCAGGCAATCTTTTGTAATTACACTGATAGGACATTTTCATTACTTTTAATTTATCCTGGTGATCTAATGGTTGACCACCTCTGTGGTCTAGTGGCCAGAGTTCCTGCCTACAGATCCAGAGGCTCTGGGTTCGATTCCTAGCGCTACCAGATTTTCTGAGAAGTAGTGGGTCTGGAATGGGGTCCACTCAGCCTCATGAAGATAATTGAGGAGCTTATTCCAAGAAAATAGCGGCTTCCATCTAGAAAACCGAAATTAACGGCCATGGGGATCTGCAAAAGTTGGCACTAACTTCGCTGACAAGCAGCGGTTGCTAGGTCGGTATAGTTCACTTGCAGACTATAGGCCACAGAGTTTGTTTGTTTTTTGTTTTTGTTTGATCTAATGGTTAGCATCAAAGCTTAGTATTAAAATGTTCTGAGTCCACACTTGATTGCAGCCAATAATATCAAAAATAAAAACTGCTAAAACTGATGTTAATGCACTGTAATTACTGAAAGCAGACATACCTTTTTGTGATATGAACGGTGTCTATCCTCAGTAGCATCAAAGTCTAGTCCTGGGATCTGAGCAACTGTAGGGCTTGCTACAGCCTCCACCTTGTCTTCAGGACCCATACCAGGTATTACAGCTGGTTCATCTGTAACAGCAACAAATTCATTTCAGAAACTAAACATATTCTCACATGGTCTTGAATGAAGACATGATGAATTTTATTCTAAGTATAATAAAATATATGCTTTGTTCCAAATGATAAAAGATATTACTCATTCTGCAGAGACAATCCATTTTAAACCACCATTCAAAGAAGAGTAAAAAGCGTACTTCGGTTTGGTGGATGCATACTTTTCAAATGTGCTCCCTGCGATTTTGTATACCTCACTGGCCTTTATGTTTACAAAGAGTAGACTTAAAATCTATTATCACATGTAAAATTCTATGATTACAAAGTTAATCATAATATGAATAACATTACACCATTATCATCTTATCATCAGCTAGCAATCAGGGAGGTGAGCCACTTGATGACCATCATAACACATAGTGACACAAATAACTTTACCTTCTGTTTCATTAAACATACATCATATAAAAAAACATTTTAAATAGCTGCTGCAAATATCACTACCTTACGAACTGATAACTAGTCTGATCTGTGGGGATTGTGACAGGCAAAACAGCTAACCCAACCATCTGGCTCATTGCCCTTTGCAGGCAGATTCAACCACCTAACCACTGAAATAATCAATGTATTTTTACAAACAACAAGAGGTTAATGAGATCCACATTTTATCACTTATATAATGTTTCTGTATGATAAACCGTTTTTCAGGAAACTGGTAAAAGTTCAATTTCAGTGTCAAGTATATTGGATAAATTAAGTTCACCCGACTTGTGGTAAAGGCTCCCCACTCCCACTCCTATAATAAATTTCACCAAAATTAAGTGAGTAGTTTTAGAGAGGAAATATAAAGATTACTAAACAAAGATATGCTCTCACTTTATTCAACTTATGCTAAGAAGACATAAAAATAAAGGAAATCAGGTTCAGATTAACATTTTAAAATTTTAAATTAAAACAAGGAAAATATTCTCTATATCATAGAAATGAAAACATAAGTATTTTATTCTTAAAGAAAGAAAGTAGGCTTATGAGACCACCATGCTGTGTACGTGCATGTCCAAAATTTCTAATTTTAAATAAAATTTAGAATGGACATTGCCATTACAGAACACAACAATGCCATACTATACTTTTTAATTTCCTACATTTAGTAACAACAATATGGCAGGCACACAAACTTCTGAGGTGGAAGTGACATTAGGTCCACTTAATTTAGGGTTAAGAAATGATGTACTGTAATAATCAGTTACCTCCTTGCATAAAAAACTGTCTGAAAATAAGAATCAATTTAAAAATACTCTAAAAAACTACCATCTATTGAATTCTTTTTATTCACTGAAGGATTTTTTAATAGTAATTGCTAATTTTAATGTGAATTTTTAAGGTTTTATCTATCATAGGTGCTTTATTTTGGCATAAATATATTATCATCTACCTTTTGGTATGATGATTTTTACAATATTAAATTTAAGATGATGTTATGTTTAATGTTAAAGTAGGAAGATAAACAGTTTGGTTTATTGTTTGACCTGACCTATGCTTATTTTCATAGCATGTGTATTTTAGTTACTTGTCTGTGACTGGTTCTATATCCATCAGGCGTATTTGTAGCCTAGAATGGATCGACGGAATTTTACAATGGAAAAAGAAAAATAAATAAATATATGAATGCACATGCGATATTTGGTATGCAGATAGATGGCACATACACATTCACATTTTCTATGAACTACCATTTAGAAGTAAACATTTACAAATGCAGATGGGACGTTTTTAAATTATTTCTGAAAAATTTAATGACAAAATTTGTACTTCAGTAACAAATTTTTGCAAAAAAATGTAATGAACAAGCTGCTGCTGTTGCTGCTGATGATGATGATGATGGTCTGTAACATATGTACGGTTGTATGCAGTACAAATCATACTTGACCTGAATGGATTCTATGAACACCTGCACACAAGTCCAATCCATGAGTTACAATGATTTCTATTTACTGTTTTGGGTTTTAAATTGACATCATCCAAATAAGACACTAATAATACAACACTTAATGGACTAGAAGTTTGCATAATAGGAAAGCAGCAGAGATCTATCTGGAATTCCTCAAATATTATGAACATTTTCATGAGGTGTGAAAAAGTCATTCCAATAAAACCCCACTCCACATTCAGCTCAAATTAAATTTTGCAAATTTTCATGGACTCATCACACAGAAAAGGAGTACATCCACAGATCTCATTTGAAGAGTTTTTCGTTATGATGGATATTAAATGAAACTGAAGAGAAATTAATTATCATTCTGTGTAGTGTGATGTTCACAGCTTTGTAGCAATAGAAACATCTTCAATAATTATGACCCTGTGCAATACAGTATTCATAGTTTTGCAACAACAGATGTATGTGCAACAAGCATTACTCTGTGCAGCACAATGTTCATGGCTTTGCAAAAACAGATGTATCTGCAATAACTGAACATGAAATACAAGGTATGTAAAACAGAAGAAAATACATTTGAAATAAATAAAAATATAACGTTATCCTGTGCTTAAGCACCACAACATAGTGATGTAGAGGGAGTGGAGGTATAGCTCCATGCACTTTTAAACTAAGCACTGGATGAAAGTCAACTGGCCACTTCGAGCCTCCAGTACCCACTGGATAGGAGTCTGGGTGGACCCAGAGCTGGTCTGGACATTGTGAATAAGGAATATATTTCTCGCACTGGGAACAGAATTCTGGTTCCTCAGTTATCCTTCCCATAGCCTAGTTACTATACTCACTGAGCTACTTCAGCTCCATTTGGAACATATGTGCAGGAATTTGCACACACCTTTCCACTACTGTATTACCTTCTTGGACATGCAGATTGATGAGCAAGAACTTCTATCTCACATACTTACCCATATCCTGGTCATCAAAACCTGGCAGCCCTGCTGGCAGAGTATTCAGGTTGTATTTGTCACGCATAAGATCACCAGGTCGGTTACGAGTCCAGAATTTACTTGTATGATCATTGGATCCTGAGCATAGGATATGTCCAAGTGGATGCCAAGCTAATGTCCACACAATGCTGTCATGTGCTTGTTCAATGCCACCCACTTCTTTGTCTGCCCTGAAGCAGTCACAACAGTTTTGTCAATAAGACATGTGAGTAACTAAAAATCTACTGAGAATAAATTTAATTTACTTGTGCAGTGGGTTCTATTTTAAACAAATTAAGAGAATATTCTAAATTACTATACCACTTATGGGTTATTATTCGATTCACAACTTATTTAATGACATTGTTTCAACTGTACAGATCATATACCACTGAATAAAGTACTAAAATTGGAATACAAACAAAACTGGTAATAAACTGGGAGGAGTAGTCTTGGTACATTTCAATGTACTATTCCAGCACTAACAAGAACAGACTGAGGAGAACAGTGAAAAGCTTCAGTCAGGGCAGATGGTATCCAGCCAAGATTCAAAGATGATTCCTCCCAAACAAGTCAGAATATTGGTGCCAAAGCAGCCCACTCAGTATTGTTTGTAAATGAACAAAATTTAATTTCCAGTGCCTAATATAGACAAATGTATTAATGGGGTTGCACAAATTACTCTTGATGCCAATTTATCAGATACCTAAAAGTCATAACATGGACTGTGTTTTGTGTTCCATATGTGAGAGGACTAACATATTTACATGTTGCATGCACAAAAACTGGCATGTGAAATATGACAAAGTTTTTATGTACAGCATGTCATGGTTTCTTTAAAAATCCTGTGACATATGTGCAGACAAGGGAAATAGATTATGGAGACAATGAATATCACAGCACAGACAAGTCCAATTTACTAGGCTTACATGACAGCTAAAATGTATCTACAGTATAAAATCTGTTTGCATCCACTTTTCCTTCCATTTTGTTTGCAAGGGGGTGGTTAGGAGACCATATAAGGTAATATGCATAAAGAGATAAATGTCTACCAATGTTATATTACTAGGTAGCTATATGTGGTTTAATGCTTAAGGTGATTACTTGATATTTACAGAAGTATGTCATCACATTAACCATGGCAAACAACAGAAAAGGTATGTAATGCAGTAACCTTTTGTGTCTAGAACCTGAATATAGTGATAAGAATAACTTTGTGTCTCTTTCTTCCAGTGCACTAACACTCATATGATTGTTAAAATTTAAAGTGACCAGTTATGGATCACATTGTTTATGATCCCAATTAAAGATGCACGTAAAAGCTCAATATAATAAACACAGACTTACAAGCATTAAATATCAGTTTATTAACCATTAATGGCCAAATTGGAAACCTTCTTCCTGTGATATGTATTGTCAAATGGTCAAATATAAATATACTGTCCCATTATGTCATGATATTATTAAAAACTGTATATATTCACAAAAACAGAATTATTATTCCTGTTGTGTCTCAAATGCTTCAATTGGTTTCTAAGATTGTTAGGGATCTATTTGTAACTGAAGTGTCTACTTCTAAAGGGTGGTTTATCTTAGTATAATCAATCATGTCAATGAGTGGTCAGATTCGAGCTCCTGCTTTACTCCCGAGAAAAGAACCCCTAGTACCCAGTGTACAGGAAGATGCATGGGCCCAGACCTGGTGTGGACACTATAGAGGAGAGAAAAATATCTTGTCCCTGCAGCGAATAATATCCAATTTCTTAGTCATTCATCCAACAGGCCAATCAACTGAGCTAACCTGGCTCTCAAGAGGAGAATATGAATGATCCAAATGACATCTAACAAAGATACATTACATCTTCAACATTCATCTGTACATTGTATGGTTAAATTTTTTCTCACTTTAATAAAACATTGAAACTACCAAAGTTCTGACAAAGTAATTACAAACGTGCATCACAATCATTATGCCTCTGTGCTTTAGTTCTATGCCATGAAGACAAGAGGAAGAAGACATGTAAAGCTCAAGGTATTTTTAACCTCACCACTAGGCACAGGTGAGTGAAGAGTTTAAAGCTGCAGGCACTATATCTGGGCCCCAGACACACAACAGACAGACAGGTGAGCATATCCCAGAGGCAGTTAGAAAACTGTTATCAAGCCCATAGCCAGTTAATTCACTGACAACTATACCAACCCATCAGACACTAAAATATTAACAGTAGTTTATAACAGAACCAAGTTAGGTGCTGTGACAATTAATACATGAAATATTATGATCAAGCAGGTGGCATTCCTGCTTCATATTTTGGAGGGCAGAAGTCTGATGTTCAAATCTTAGACCAGATAACAGTTAGCCCAACAGAGGCTTTCCATGGTTTTTCTCCACCCCTCTAAGCAAATCTAAGGTAGTATATCAAATTAGTATATGACCACTTCCTTTCACATCCTTTTATTCACTAGTCATCACATCATTTGAGACTATTTGGCCTGAGCTCTGAGAATGTTGTTAAATAAATAAATGATAAATAATTACATCAATAATTATATTATAAGTAGTGCAGAGTCCCAAGTTACTGTTCCAGAATTTAAGTTTCCCCTAATTTATGTTTCAATTTTAAACATTCCATCACGGTTAGTATTTCTACTTCCTAATCAGAAGGTCATGGCTTCCAGTTCCAGGGCGGGTGCCCATTATGCAGGCTGAAACTTCTCATGATACTAAGACAGTACCTTAAAATAGGCCATGACTGCTTCCTTCCACATTCTTTTCATACTTCACAAATCACCATGTCATTATACACCGTCCTGCCTAACAGCTGATAAAACACCATTAAATAATTAAAAAATAATCACCCAACACCTATAATCTATGTTAATTTCACCCATTCAGAGTTTCTTCAATTTAGTATTCAAATCCATGGTCTCCCAGAGAAATCTTACGAGGTGATTTCAATACACAACAATTACATTTCAAATGGTAAGACTTCATGTTGGAAATATTATACCATGACCCACCGTAACAACTTACCCAACATGCCAAAAGAGAATGGCACCATCTGAACCTCCACTGCAGAAAAGACCCTCATGGTAAGGATGCCATGCAACACTACTTGCTTCTTTTTTGTGACCACGAAATGTTTGAACCTCTTGTGACAAGTTGCGCAGATCGAATAACTTAAGGAGATGATCTCGAGAAGCAGTCACTAACCAATTGCCATTGGAATTCCATTTGATATCCATCACAGTGCTCTTGTGGGCATGGCTGTAAACATAATCTTTGTAAGATTTGAGGTTTTCATGGCAGTGACTATGAAGAGTGCCATCTTCTGGGATGTGGCGCCCTGTAGATATTGTGTATCCAACGTTTCGGAGGAATGTATCGCCTCCATCTTCTGGGTATAAAAATCCATGAGCAAGGAGCCAGCATAAACAGGTGGCTGCAGACTAAGTCACCAGTCGAAAACACCAAGTTATATAAGAACAGGAAGTGAGGGGAGAGTGGGCTACATGGGAAATCAATACAGAAGAGAGGGGAAGGGTCTGTGGAGATGGGCCAGCAGGTAGCAGGCCAGAGTAGGTAAGGGATCAGAAGTCTCTCATCTGCTCCCCAAGAAACCTCTGGAACATGACACCATATCCACAAGGCTATGCATGCTATGATGCATGGCCGGCAGCTTAGCTCTGAGGCTACTGGATCAATGCTCTCCCGGTAACCTTGCCCCCTCCCCCCAATGATCCTATACTTGCTCTGGCCTGCTACCTGCTGGCCCATCTCCACAACCTTCCCTTTTCCTCTCTATTGATTTCCCATTCGGCCCCTCTCCCTTCCCTTCCTGTTCTTATATAGCTGGGTGTTCTTGACTGACAACTCAGTCTGCAACCACCTGCTCACACTGGTTCCTAGCTCGCCGATTTTTATACCTTGACGATGGAGGCGATATGTTCCTCCGAAACGCTGGTTTACACAATATCTACATGGCGCCACATCCCAGAAGACGACAATCTTGAACATAATCTTTCTTCTAACTGCTTATGTATTGTGTTATCTCTCTACAGGCCACATCACAGCTTAGGTGGTTATCTTTCTTTGAGGTTTCCTAACCAAAATTTTGCACGCATTCTCCTCTTGTAAATGTATATATCATGTCCTGCCTATTGCATACTTGAGTTTGTCACTTAATAATATTAGATGAACAGTATAAATTATGAAGCTCTCATTAGTTTCTGATGTAATTAATGTCATCAAAATCCCTTCCTTTCAATATTTCCTTTATCTTTGGGAACAGAAAAAGTCAGTGGGGGCCAGACCCAGTGAATAGGGAGGGTGTTCCATCACAGTTATTTGTTTACTAGGTAAAACCTCCCTCACAGACAGTCCCGTGTGAGCAGGTCCTTTGGGACCATTTTTGCACATACCTCCCTCATGTCAAGATCTTCAGTTAATGTTTTCCTAACTGTTACTCTGTCAATGTTTGCTTGCTCTGCTATGCTCCTGAGAGTCAGCTGACAATTTTCACGCATAATTTGACGAACTCTTGCAATGTTTTCTTTGGTTCTGCTCGTTGCTGGCTGTCCTGATCTCTCTTCGTCAGTGACAATTTCCCTTCCCTCAGAAAAATAATGTCACCTACTTGTAAACTACTGTTTTCTTCACAGCATTATCCCTGTAAACTTGAACTAATATCTTTCTGATTTCACTTCCTCTCTTGCCAAGTTTAACAAGAAATTTAATCTTTTTTTCTGACATTCTCACAACAGAACAACAGAACACACTCAGACAATAATAGATGCCACTCACAGACTGCCACAGATCAACAACAACATACGTGGGTTACTTCAAAAGTCATGGCAACTAATTTTTTGGGGGCAAACACATTACAGTAAAGAAGGTTCAAAATATACTTATGAAAGGGCATGATATACCCCTCCGACTGGCTTAGTCAGATCAGGTAGATGTGAAGGGGCATAGGTATAGTAGGCAAGAAAAACTGCACATTACAGAACGACTGTTCTTTTTTTTTTTTTTTCATTCGTTAATCGTCGAAAATTCAATTGTGATTAAGAAATAAAAAATTCAATGTTTCATGTTTCATCGATGGAAATTATTCGATTCAAGAAATTGTCTCCTTCAATTTCATATCGTTTGAGGTTCACATGACTTGTGTCATAACATGTCCACGTTTGAACCTCGTTTAATTCATGTGGCACCCACTTCGCTGCAATCTTGCGCATGTGTAGGTCTTTTCATAGAATTTAATCACAGTTGCCTGGTCAATCCCTGTATGTCTCTCTAACTCCTTCAGAGACCAGAGCCTATCTTCCTCCATGCACTGGGCAATCACGGCATGAGAAACATCGGTACGAATGGACACAGGGCGTCCACTACATTGCAAGTCAGCACTTGCTTCTCTTCCATGTTGGAATGCTTCTATCCACCTTGCAACAGTTCTGTATGATACAGCACGATCACCCAGAGCTTCCACAAGCTCTGAGTGACATTCAGTCACATTTCTGCCATGAAACACTGCTATTTTCACATAACAATGCTGTTCCAGCCGGTTAACGTTCATTCTAGACAAAAGTTATGATCACACTGACTTTGTGCTGGACTCGCTTCGTTGTCCTTGGACTTCTGCATCATCTAGCAGCATCATTAGAAATCAGATGTTGCTGTCTCTCAGCAGCAAATTTGGAAATTGCAGTCAGAGCTTTCGAAATTTCAGAAAAATTATGTTGCCATGACTTTTGAAGTAACCCACATAGCTGTGAAATGCTGATATGCCGACATCATCAAAGTATACTGAGGTTTCTGTCCACTGCTGCCACAGCAAGCACACGGTGGCAAGTTCATGAACTTTATTGTCATGCCTCATACATTCCAATCCCAGAGCTGGCCAACTCTTCATTCTCCAAAAATGGAAGGACCAAGCTCAGGGCCCATACAAATCAACTAAATTATAAAATTCTTACAAAACTCTGGATGATACTTCATGCTGTCATAGCATGCAGCACATTTCTATATATATATAAAAAAAAAGAGATTTAATTTACAGTTACTTATAATTTTGTAAATATCGCCTTAGAGATAGTTTCATTTACCACAAAGTATATCTTATAATAGAGAAATACTACAATTTGATGAAACTGTAGCTTTGTGAACCTTACAAAGTTTGATATGTCTGGACTTCACATTACAATTCAGTTCAATACATCCATTATACATACAGTGTTGCCAGTGATTGGCCTGTCTTTGGGTCCCACAGTTTCACTGGTTGCTGATTATCTTTGCTGCCAGAGATGATAAGACCTTTCTGGGGATGCCAGTGTACACATTTCACATCAGCACCATGTCCTGCAAACAATGTCACATTACCATTGACTAATGTCCATACAAGTACAACATATTTTTCAAAATAATGGCCGAAGAAACATAAATCATACACACATGCAATATGCAACTCAATCAACATTTGCTATATTAGGAAGGTCAGGACAATGCATTTAAATAAAGTCTGCTTAATAACTGATAACTGATGACAATTTCTCATTACACATGTCTGTAATTAACCACACATCTTAATATTAATCAGAATATACAAAAAGTCATGTGATTCTTCTGAAACAAATTTACTTTTTCACATAATTCTCTCATCTCTGTAATTATAGACTTGGCAACACAGAATGGATCTCCTCCTATGCATGTAGTAATGCATATTGATTTGATATTAACTGCCAAAGGGGTTTCAGGCAGCATGCAACATGCAATATGATATGGCAGTTGTACACATTATTTAGGTATAGATTTTCCAGTACATCGCAGCCACAATAGTTTGCTAACTAAGTGAACATACATACATACTTCAGTGTTTCAGAGAATTCATAAATGTGTAACTGGCACTGAATATAAAACTTGTCAAACAACAGTCATAAGGCAATCAGACATCAATTCAACCATAGTTAAAATCTAAACTGAATACTTCAATTAAATAGATACAATGTTACGCATACAATTACACCAACAAGATAATTAGCAGTACATAATAATTCTCCTCCCTACTCATATATACATATGCATGCAATGAAGAACTATAGTTGTCACATATTTAGATATAAATTGCACAGTAATATAATGAACTATACCTAAATAAACAAATTTCTGATTATAAATCCTTACAATAAAGCAAAAATTCATCAACTGAATAAAATGAATTATTGATTAATATTTCTTTTAGTTTTCCTAGGAAAAGTTTCCGGTCTTGCATCAAATCTCTTACATAGAGAGGCAAACTGCTGAAAATTTTAACACGCACATATAATAAACTCCTTTTCGCCTTACTATTTATTTATTTATTTATTTATTTATTTATTTATTTATTTATTCACTTCACATCCATGGATCATTATACATGACATAGGACAAGACAAAACTCTCTATAATCCAATACAACGATACAATAAGACAATACAATGATACAATAATAGAATAATAAGATACTGTAATACATGTAGATTCCCTCTATGTCTTGTTGTCTTATTACGGATTGCATCATTAAAAATAAAATGCATGAAACATGGATACTGTCAGTGAAATGAAAGAATATTCTTCAGCAGTCTGATATCCACTGTTGGCTTCCTGAGCTCATCACAGCTTTTCACCAGGAGTTTCTACGTTCCAGTAGAGAAAAAACAATAAAGAATAAAATCCAAAACCAGGGCAATAAACAAGACCCAAAAGTAGAAACATGAAAAGAAAAGTTATTCAAATTACATGAGTTATGCATAAATCACAGGGGGACTCCTTTGATAACACCAAAAATGAAGATGGCAAATAAATGATCACTGGGAAGACCAAAAACTAGGAGATGATGATGTTCAATACCATTTAATGAAAATTAGTAAATTGTGATCTACCATACTTTTGGCCACAGCAGAGCCACTGAACAGACAGACATCAGACCTGGCAACAGAGTTCTGAAGGTACCTATTCCTTTTCAGTGTACTTTCCTTATATCATCTACAACTTCTGAATCACTTGATATTCATGAAACTTAGTATGAAAATCACTCACTTCAGGCCATCTCATGTTCATATTCTTTAATTTCCTAACACCAACATCGGAGGTCAAGTAAACGTCTGAGGGGAATATAACATTATTGCTATTTAATGTAGAATCCTGAAATGTAATGTGACATGCACACATCAAATTGGATTACTGTTATGTTCCTTCTTGTCTGAAGTAATGTTTCTGGAAATATAAGTATGAAGTCTGCAGAGAACCTTTTTAGACAGGAGAAAGAGACCTTGGTGTAATGAGTACTGTTTCTCTGTGTGTGTGTGTGTGTGTGTGTGTAATTTTAGAATACAATCAACTTTCTAAAATTTACAAATCTTCGTAACATCACACATTTAAAGACTGCCCTCATACCAAAAGTAATTAAAATCAACACTTCTACATGGTGGCTGCATAAATGCTAGAGGTGGAAACAGTAAAATATTATGTGACAATCCTGAAGATCTGTATTACAATAAATCTTGGCATTGTTCATGTTATATTGGCCAATTTTAAGTATTTACTTACTTATGGAGCTGAGCCCTTCTTGAGAAGCCAAACCTGCAGCTACTCCAGAATTTCCCAGCATTTTATGGAACCAGATGGTTCATTACCGTGTATACAAGAGCCCTCCATTGGTCCCTATCCTGAGCCAGATCAATCCATGCTACATGTCCTGCCCACCTCATCCTCCTTTATTTGATCATTCTAATTATACTTGGAGAAGAGTACAAGTTATGAAGCTCCTCATTATGCAGTTTTCTCCAACCTCCTGTCACTTCATCCTTCTTTGGTCCAAATATTCTCCTCAACACCCTGATCTCAAACACCTTCAGTCTATGTTCCTTCCTTAATGTCATAGACCAAGTTTCACACCCATACAGAACCACAGGCAAAATTATAGTTTTGTATAGGTTGTTCCCTTGTCACCACGGCATGATGCGTCCTCAGGTTGCGGATGGAGGAGATACCCTCCAGGTATGGAGGGAAGCTGTGAATATACTGAATAAGCAGTCATGGACAGCTGACAATGGGAGGTCCTTCCGCTTGGGGGTTGGGCATGGGGCTAACAACTCCTTGCCATAAAAAATAAACTTGTTATGAAAATTCTCAAGAAGCCTCAGACCTGGACAGATTCCTTGAATAAACGACCTAAAGCCAATTTTAAGTAAATTGGAAAATAACAAAACAGAAGTCATACTAAATTTTAAGTCACAGAAGACCATAAATTACATAAAATATTTTTTGCATATGAACTGTAAAACACCAACAACTAACTCCAGGTGTATTTGAGGTTATGTGGTTCAACACCATTCAATGCAAAATGCTAGCAATTTCAAAAACAGATATATGAATATCTTTGTCAAAAAAGGAGTGTAACATGGTGACCATCTATTAACATATTCAACTTTAAGATAACCAATAAATGATTATCATATGAGATTATACATTTAAAAAGTAATGACAACCATATTTTACCATTCTTGGTCCTGCTTCATTTACTTCTTGTGAAATCCTTATAACATACTAGCATATAGCTGTTATATTTCTTGTTCTATTGTTTGTATATCTTGTTGTTTTTCACACAACATGTTGCACATTTCTGATTAAAAGAGACCAACTGCATGTATCAAAATTAAATGCAAGCAACATATGTCATCAAACTGAACGACTTACACTTAACAAATCTGCATTGCTATTTATCAAAACAGATGGGAGAGATTATTCAGGCTTTTAAGTACAATGGTACCTGGATTAAATTACATTTTTTAAAAACACAGTTTTATATTTCATCCAAATCAGTTCACCAAGTGATACCACTCACATCATAACAAGGCAACTGAGCTAAGTGATGTAAGAGTTACAAGTAGTGAGGTGGAAAGATATTTTTTATCTTATCCTGAAGATGGAGGCGATACGTTCCTCCAAAACGTTGGTCTACACAAGATCTACGCGGCGCCATATCCCAGAAGACGGCATTCTTCAATTATGGAGTTAGTTAACTAGCCAGATGTTTTTGTCAATGGGAGGATGATGTTAAAATGGTTTACCCCATATATAGCAAACACTATAATACTGGAGCCATATACCGAGGTCTGAAGGAACTAAGAATTGCAAGGGTGAGATTTTGGACAATAGATTTAGGAAAAGTGATGCAGAAATAAGTATCAGAAGACAGTAGGGTGCAAAAATAAACAGCATTGACAGAAAATATGACTATATAGGCCTACTAAATTTTTATCCATGGTTTATGCTGACTATCTTACCATGTATACACTTTTTCACCTTATTCTTCACTTCCACACTACATGTTTCAGAACTAATGTGCCATCTTCAGGTGTCTTTATGCACATTAAACTATTGTACTGCATGCCATAATGTCTTCATTCTAAAACGACTAAAATCTGTATTCATCATATAGGATGATGAATTCTAAATAATAAAACTTTTCAGGATTCTTCCTACGTCGCACTCAAACATGCGTATTACGCCAATCCTCTTTTATGTGAGCATTCTTCCTACATATATTTGTGTATCGTGTTCTGTGTTGTGTTTTGCTCCTGTTACGCATGCAGTAACAGTCCCTACAGGGACTTTTGTCCTGGGGGCATAGTGCATAAAGTGTGAAACTAACCACCCACCTCAGTCTACTTCAAAGGTCTAGAATGTATGTAAATTTACCTCCATGCCCCACATATCTTCTTGGTGTGGTATGTAAGTACAGTAGCAACTTTGTTTGCAAAATACGGGCTATATAAATCACTACAAAAGAGAAACTCTGATTTTTATATGTAGTTTCCTATTTGAAAGGGCAAGTGGTAGCATAGTTGGTTGAGGCACTATGCTACAAGCCAGATGGTCATGGGTTCATTTCACAATGAGGTCACTAGATTTTTCAATCAACCTAATCCTTCCAGCCATACCATGGCCCTCGGCAACTCAGCCTCTAATAGAAATGAGTACCAGAAATCTTCCTGGGGTAAACGGCAGCTGGCGCATAAGGCTGACAACCTCTCTGCTATGTGTGAACTGTCTAGAAAGTGTGGGAGCCTCGACATCTCAAAACCCTATGGGCCTTCATGGCCTGTTACAGGGATAGCTTTATATTTTTCCTACTTCAATTAGATCTGAAGTCTCTCCTACTACTGAAATGCAGATAGTAATATGGGTTATGTTAAGTGGGTCTCTTGTCATCACTGCATGATATATTCTTTAGATGCCAATGGAGATGGTCTCTAGATATGGAGCTTAACTGCCAACATAAAGGATAAGCAACCATGGACAGCTGACAAAATACATTACTCAAGCTAGAGTGGCTGGGGGGTGAGCAGGGAACAATTCTCATAGAAAAAGAATTAGCATTATATGAAATATTACATCTGGCCTCAAACTTGGACAGATTCTTTGGAACAACCTAAGCAATGAAAAATTTGCATGAGATTCGTCAACTTTGATTTTCTGGGGTTGTTCTGTTTTATTTTTGGGGGGGGGGCAATAAAATTATTTTAGTAATTTCTGAGGAAAGGCACAAAATTTTATCCAACAGTCATCTCTCATTGTTAATCCTATACCTTCACAAAAATATCTGGGGATCACCAGTTTGGATTTGAATGTAATAGTTCAACTACTAATCAGACGGTCTATGTGTACATAACCTTTCTATATTCTTTATGAAAGTCTATGATTATGTTAGCAGAGAAGTTTAATTTTCTGAAGAAACTAGTCAGTAGGCTGAATACAATGTGTTTAAGCAAAATCTACAGTAATATCCATATAGGTATTCACTTGTCCCATACATTCCTACCAAACAAGATGCTCAATTCAAATCTTAGCTGGGAAACCAGCTATCCTGACTGAGGTTATTCATGGTTTTTCTTGGTCCCTCCAGGCAAATCCTGGAATAGTATCTCAATTAGACCATAACCACTTCCTTCCAAATCCTTTCTAACTCATCAATCATCTATCATCATACCATCTGGCATTATACATTCTCAGTACTGAAAAAGCATCATTAAACAACCCACAGAAAGAAAACAAAAGATGTATTTCCTATTTGGCATTGTCTGGAACAAAAGGCTTTACTGGCACTGTATTTATAGGAAGGCCCAAGAGGGATTGGACTTGAACAGAACACACCACCACCTGATATATGCTGATGGTATTAATCTATGACGTGAAAAAAACATGTAACTTCTATGAGATGTGGGTATGGAGGTTAGTCTAGAAGTGAACATGCTGAATAGTAAGTATATGTTTATGCCTCATCAACAGAATGTAGGGCAAGAATATTATTAAAGCAGCTAACAATCCTTTCAAAGCTATGGCAAAGTTCAGACACTTGGGGATGGTAAAAAGAAACAAAAATTACATTCACAAATAAATTAAGAGCAGATTCAATTCAGGGGATGCCTACTACTACTCAGTTCATGTATTCTTTATTCATTCTGGTCTGTTGCACTAGTCAATATTATAGAATGATTTGAACACTCAGCAATGTGACTCAAATGCATGTATGTATATGATGCCTTGACATGTTTCGGTCTATTAATGACCATCTTCAGAAGGCAAATAACAACATTTTGAGGAAACTACTATTACACAAATCATTGTACAAGTTCAAAGTTGTCCAAAGTTTTATATAAAGATCTTAATTAAGTTAAAATGTGAGTCAACATTTTTATACAATTCTTAATATTTAAGATCTTAAACCACCGAGGTTCATGTCTTCATCCCTCTTCTATCAACAGGAGATTGAGTAAACTGCCATTCTTGGAGGTCATGGCAGTGTTTTTGTTTTCTTTCTTATATAGTTGGTTAAGAGTCTGTGCTTGTTGCGACTAACAGCTTAATAACAGAGATTCTTAACCAAGAATATAAAGAAGAAAAAACACTGCCAGGGCCTCCAAGGATAGAAATTTACCCAATCTCCTTTTCATAGATGAGGCATGAAGACACAAACCTTAGCAGTTTAAGATTTTAAATATTAAGAATTGTATCAATATTTGAACTCACCATGTCTTAGCCTAATTAAAATCTTTAAATAAAATTTTGGACAACTTTGAACTTGATGTACTATGATTTATGTAACAGTAGTTTCCTCAGAATGTTATGTGCCTCTTGAAGATGGTCATGAATTGGCCGTAGGATGTAAAGGCATCATATATATATAGATACACACACAAAATTGGGCGACACTGGATGGTGTAGTCAAATCATTCTATAATCATGTATCCTAATTAAATAAGTTAAGACATCAAACTATAGTAATATTAAACTGTAAATATACAGAACTATAATTTCACCTATGGTACTATATTGGATGGAAACAGGGTGCTGAGGGCATTTGGACATAACAGAGAATCCCAAACAAGGGTGCTCGAGGAAACTGCACAGTAACAAGATTCGTATTTTACACTTTTTGCAAAATATTGGGGTGAGCAAATCAAGGAAGATTAGATGAGTGGGGCATTTAGCATGAACAGAAGCAGAGCAAAATGCATACATTTTAGGAAGACACCTGACAGATTTTAAAGACATGGGAAATGATGAAACTGACTTGACTAATCTCCTTCAAAATAAGGTCTAGTGGCAGGAAAAAGATATACATTAATAAAATTAATTAACAAACTAAAGTGATATAATTCATGAAAATTTTCTTACATAACAAGAAAAAATAAAGATCTTAACTGGATACCAATAACAACATTAAACATTCATGTACTGTATATGGTTGCTTTGTGCCAGACTATAACGCCCAGTGTCAGGATTCAAACATCAGTAAGAGGTAAATGATCTCTATGCTTAAATAAGCACCATGCAATGAAGATGTATAGTGGAGTGAAAGTATAGCTCCACACATTCTCAGCCTTGGTACTAGGATATGAGTGGTCAGATTTGTGCCTGTTACTTTCACACCCTGCAAAAAGTCTCTGGAGCCCCTGGATATGAGGGTGAGTGGGTCCCAGAGAAGGAGTGAATAAGAGTACAAAAAAGAAAGAAAAACAATTTTCCTTGCCAGGGATTGAACCCTGATCATCCAGCCTGTAGCTTCACAATACTGGCCAAGAAACCCTGATTCCCCCAGAATTTTAAACATTTCACATAACTGAGAGATACTTACCTCTGAGTATCCGCTCCTCATAGCATCGCATGAAGTCCCAGATCCTCAATGTCCCATCATCTGAGCAAGTCACAAACTTATGGTCCGTTGGGCTGAAGCTATGGGAGGGACAGACAGGAGGTAACAAAACAGCGTCAGAAAACATTCCAAGCAGGTGATGGAAAATTCACATATATTCAGTATGTTAATGCAGGTATTGTCAGCTAAGAAAGCCTAGTGTCAGCTTTAAGTATGGTTTAATATGAAACAGAAAAATCTGTATGACTTGTTTTATAATAAGCAGGAAATTAAAATTTAGATTTGAGCTCTCACAATTCAAAACTTAAGCTTAATTATAAAACAGACGTCCTACTAAACAACAGTAACACTTCGCATCCATGCTTGACAAATCTAACCTTATCACTTTGTTTAAGATGGTTAAGTTTGAACTACAAAGTATGAAGGAAAATTTCTAGGAATCTTCATTTATAAAATCAATTATAAAGACAGGAGAGAATACAAAGGCACCAAAACTTCAATCCAATAACACAATTAAAGGAAGGTTTACTGTGTACATTTAATAAGGAAAAGGAATGATACTTAATTTATAACCTGTGCCCTCATTACTCCAACATGCAAAATACCTGAAATAAGTCCATGCTGCATATAATCCCACACTACTCACACCCACATGTCTGAGATCCAGGATTAATTGGGTGAAATAAACCGATGGGACTTCACAAATATGAAAAATTTGTATTCTGTATGTCAAATGAGGGTGGGAGAAGATTTTTTGAACCTTCAGATCATGGTATGCATTATTAATTGCAAGCCATGTAGTCCATTTTGTTCCAAGTTTGTTCCCATATCCATGGGTACCAAGGGGAAGCAGGCTGGGTTTGGGGGGGCTGACATTCTATTTACATATAATCTTACATTTAAGCCATTTACAACTATTTATATTGATCATCCTGGAGTACTTAGGATCAAAGAGGAATTAAAAAAAAACTTTGGTATTAATATTTGCTATAATTAATTTTTCCTTTTTAATTTTGAATCTTTCCAAAAATCGGAAAGGGAGCAGATGTCCGGCTTCCTCCCCTAACCAATGCCCATGCCCACAACTCAACCTACTTTGTGGACATAATGAAGTAAAGAGAGTAAAAAAGAAACTCTATTAACTGTATCATGTAACAAAAAACATTTTCATCTGTTCGCTCCTATGATTTCATCTCACAAGGGGACTGGGGAGGTGGGTATTAATTAAATGGTCTTTCTTAATAACAGGTAGCAGAAAGACGATCTGAACTGCCTCACTGGGATAAAAGCTTCATCATTTGCTTGATGCATTTCACGGTTAAAGAGGATTAAATCATGTGAGTAAACTACACTATGACAGGAGAACGCAAAGGTTCAACGTCACTAATACCAAAGCCCACCATCAGACACAATCGTGAGCCAGTTCTATCCACCTTCTACCCTTGTAACCTTGCTCTCCAAGATATGTCTTTATATTCAGACTGCATCTTTTGGATTGTCATCATTTTGGAGGAACATGAAGATGGAGACAGCATATTCCTCCAGAAAAAGTTTACTTTGACCCTGAGGATGCAGGTAGCATATTCCACCAAGGCATTGGTATCCATCTACAAAACCACAACCCAGAAGACCACAATCTGAATGCTCAATGCCATGAAAACCTTTTTATATTACTGTGCATATTCCCTTCTTGGTCTTTGAAGAAGACACTTCCCAAGAGGTTTCCCCACCACAATTCTGTATATATTCTTTACCTCTCCTATCCCAGCCACATGCCTAGTCCAGTCTCCTTGATTTGACTAGGTCATCTGTATGAATCATAAATTCCTCATTACGTAATTTCCTAGCTTTCTCACTTACTTCTCCCTTCTTAGATACAAATACTTTTCCAGATCTTTACTTCCATACATTTGTAATGTTCTCCCTTCACAATAAGAGATAAAATTCAAAACCAGAAAAAGCAGATGGCAAAATTAGTGCGTCTCATAGTGGTGCTTATGAGAAGTTCTATCTTCTAGGATATAATGAACTACATGGTGTTATATCCATAAAAATAGAATTCTTCAGTAAAATTACTGTTTTGTATATTCTAATTTTTAACATTCTGGAAAGCAGAGGGAATGATAACAGACACTGCACCAAATATATGAAGCATTTGTAGGATTTAATCTTCTACACAAGTCATCATGAACCTCATTTCTATTTGTTCCTATTAGGATAAACCTTGACCATTTCAGTATTGTCAGAATATGTTACTATAACATATCATACTAAATTGACATGTTCAGCCAGAATGATTTGACATTTAACATTAACACATCAATATATTTCAATGGGTATAATTTCATTGTTTTCCATTTTTTAAAAAAAAATATTTCTTTAAAAGATCCATCAACATTCAAATTTCAAGCATTACAATAAACAATACTACTGTTGCTTCCACCACACAAGGTAATGCTGGTACTGCTGAAGATTGATCCAAAGACAAGTACAATGCTGCAATTCATTAATTTTTATAGTGAAGGTAATGAGATCAAGATGGAACATGGTAACCAACATTTTGGTTAAGTATGTTGTTAAAAATAATAAAGGTAAATTTTGTGGAAAAGAACAATGCTGATCAAAAGTTAGTTTCTGGTTTGATGATGGTAACTGACTATTAGTAACTGCATTTATGCAGATTACATTTGATGACAGAATGTAGTATATACATTTAGAAAATTTAAATGATATATAACTTGTTAATTAACATGTAAGAAAGTGGTAATGGTCTGAATCCTGATGTTATGCTCACAAAACACATACACCAGCCACAACAAATTGCTATTTCTTACCAGCTCATGAATTTTCTTATTATAGACATGATGAAATAATTCTAATTGATTTAAGACAAAATTATTACCCCTAAATGTCAAATACTTCATGCCATAAAGTTAAACATGGGTATGAGCTTTACTCCATTTAAAACCTAAAACTATAATTTGCCAATGGTGGCTGTCATTTTAACTCTTTGTCATGGCTGAAGCAAAAGCAAAATTAAATGTCTCCTACCTCATTCAATGTACGAAAACATAGTGAACAAAGGACACTTAAATCAACTGGTCTGACTGTAGCATGACACACTGACTTCCAAAGGCAATGCAAAGGCTTAACTGTTCTTACACTTAGCCTGTTAAGTGTTCATAAAACCTAATATCATCTTAAACAAAAATTAAAGGTCATTTCTGTGAAAAAGAAAATGATATGGAATTGTCCTACAGTGCCAATATGCACATCCTAAACTTGGTTTTTGTAGAACTGAATTATGCACTTTATCTTTGCTACACTCAATTCTGTTGCCAGTGAAAAAAAGAGAAAGCTTTTCACATTTGTCCCAAGTGTAAAATTTGCATTTAGCATTCAGAAATACTGGATTCAGAGGAACTTCAACAATTCAACATTTATGCAGAGGAAATACAGTTCCACTACTTTATGCAGTACAAGCTGATGGCAGAATGTGTCATTATGGCTAACACCAGACAAATAGAAAGAGAAATGGAAATATACAAAATTAAGGCTCAGGAAAGCACCATTTACTTTAAATCAAATTTATAAAATTTATAAGAAAATGTCAAACTTCTAGCAATATTTTTTGTTTCATCAATTTCTATAATCTTTATCTAAAACACTTTTGGTTAAGTGTATATTGAAATAAAATTACAATTAACACACTCCTACTTCCATAACTCTCTTTTGATTAAACTTTTATAACAAATTGAAGTTCTTGAATGCAGTCACTGTTTTTGCAATTCTCCACTTTCATGGTTTATTACATTTTTGTGCAAAATAATTTTCCATGTCATAATAGAACAAAAACTAAAATCATATAGGATTTGTCCAAAAACATGTAACTGGTTAACACAAAAACCAGAAAAATATAATTGCAGTTTAAAATAAAATGACGGGCCTTACTGGCTGAAATCGCTCCAAATTATCCTAATATATATGAATTTTTGCAAGTTATAAATAAACTAATTCTGTATTGTGTGAGAACTGCCTAATCTTAGTTGTGACTGGACAGACAGGCATAACCTTCACAGCAGGCATCAATGACTTCTTAGTTTGCCATGTAATGAAAAGTTATAGCATGTAGGACTGGCCCTAATTTCTTGTTTAACAGCTTTGAAATACATCTTCCTGACAAGTGCTTAACAACTGTAAAATCTTAATTATTTCTGAAATAAAAAATACAGCTTTGTGAATCAAAACAAAAATTATGAGTACCAATGTAAACAAAAGATTGTTCATGACAGAAAAGTATTAGTTATGACCTAAAAAGCTATAGGTTCGAGTATTTGAGTGTGAAACTGTAAAAAAGGAAATATGGTGGAATATTCTAAATGTGAAAATTGGGTGTTCTGGTAAATACGGTGAGATGCGATGCCATTATTCCATTGGAAATTTCCCTTCTCCGTTCACTTTAATTCTACTGCACATAATTACCACCCTCCACTTCTATAAATATATTCACAGTATCTGTTTGTCCACTGCCATCATGCTTCGATCTCAGAAACTAATCACTGTAACACATAAATGTAAATACAAAATTGATTTGTTTTATGAAGGAAAACTCGGGGAGAAAATTAATTTTGCTGTTATATACATGGATTCAGTCCAAGCCAATTTCTTTTTCCATTTTTCCCATATCAAGAAAAATATTCGGACAATGTTTGATGAGTACCTTTTTTATAGTAATGATGGTCATAAAAACAACTTCTGTGAGTCCAAGAACTTACAGACATCAAGTGTAAGTAACTACAATGATAAAAATCATTCATCTAATTGTATTGCAGAGTTTTGTGCATGGGTATGTTAGTGTATATTACTCATCATGTCAGCCTACCATGTTCCACATCTACTGAAGAATCTGTCAGCAAGAAGTTATCAGATAATTTTTAACACCTGCTTTTATGAAAATGGATGCATATGAAAAGAAATGGCAACCAAACCAACAAATTAAAAAATAAACAATTCTGTGATTTACTATGTGCAAAGATTTCCAACAGGGGAGCTGTGTGGGGACCTTAAAATATGTTATTTA